GTCTATTGACTAGTTGGTATATTCATAGACTTAAACCACGGTTGAGCTATGGACCGTTTTCGGACAACTGCCTAGAACTATGAAGAACAGCATGCCTACTAATACCAACTTCAAAGATAATAATGTCAAAGAGATGTTGAATTGGCTCTTAACCCGATAATTGAACTCTGGGTTATTTCTTGAGTAAACCAAGCAATAGCTACTCCTTTAGACTGTTAAGAGTAAATCAGCTTACTTAATTTTGTGGGGCTGAACACTTAAGGGTTACAAAAGTGTTTTTATGTATAAACTTATTTGGCTATAAGGAGAAAGACCTTAATCAGACAAAAATTCCAACCGAAACCGCCAAAAGGACTAAATATTTTCCAAAACTTGAACGTTTGGAGAACTCTAAATCTGGCTGCATAAAATCGCATCCTTACTGGCTGATCTACAAGACTATTAAACAAAATCCTATATGTGCATATCAAAGTTCGCTCTCTTCATGATAAATCTACGGAAGCAATAAACGAGTTAAGATTACTTCTGCTATGTCTTGTTCTTACATCTTGTTGGTGGAGTAGGGGTTCAGGATACGCCGTTGCAGGATTCACCCTGGTGTATCTATCCGAGAATTCGCATTCCAGATGGCCCTGACCATAATAAAGGGCGAAAGAAAATTAAAAGTAGATGGACTGGGAGTCTTCACAATGATTGTGATCAGCGGTGTATGGTGAAACAGAAAGAGGAGGAAACGGTGTCAGTATTAGGTAACATTGGCAATTGTTCAGCGTAACTAAGGATACCAGCAAGGAGAAGATAGTTAGTGGAACCATCATCGAAAAAGGTGGGACGCTAATAATCTTTAAGAACAAGTGGCCAGAACGTTGGGCAGAATACACTGAAACACACTTCAGTTGGTCTAAAACAACGCTTCAGTGGCCCAGTAGCTGGCCAAACTAAACATAAATGGGGCATAGGTGCCAATCCTACAGCTGTCCTCGAAGTTGAGCAGGCCATTTTGAACCTGAAACGATACAAATCAGCAGGACTTGACGCTTTGCCACCCGAAATTTTTAAGGATGGAGGTGGTGAATTACTGAGTAGAGTACCAGAGGTAGCGTATGGGAATCACAGGAAGTCCTCTTGGAGTGATCTATTTCACTTATTATTCCGGTCTACAAAAAAGGAGAGAAGTTTACTTGCGGTTGTCATAGGAGAATCAGTTCGGCTGAAAGCTTGTCCAGCATCCTAGTCCATTCACGCCCAACTTATACAGGAGAAAAGCAAATTCAAGAAAACCAGCTACGTTTGACATCTGAATGAGGGCGCTAAGACCAAACTTTCCCCCTTGGACAGGTTATGGAACACAGGGATTTGTATCGGTTGTCTACACTTGCCATGTTTCTTGACCTGAAGGCTGCACTTGACTCTGTTCACTGCGATCTGTTTTCTCAGCGACTGAATATGGAGGGAGCACCTAGCAAGCATATAATACTAACTAAAGCTCGCTGATAAAATGCGTCAATCACTTCACTTACTTGTAGCTCGAATAGGCTTGTTACTGACGAAATCTCAGCTCTGATACAGAAGGCGCATTTGTCATTTGCCACCTTGCATCATCTCTGATGCTGACTGGCAAGACATTCAGCCACATTAAATGACGAGTATACCATGCTGCCTGTCTTGTTATACGTCTGTGGGAAACGGTTGTTGAAGCTAGAAGATATGAAGAGACTACAAAATTTCGACCATAGGTTTCTTCATAGCATTGACTCTGCTCATAGCATTGTTGAGGTCAGGGGAGAGGTACTAGGCACGGAAGGCTGGCATTTCATTCGATCAGGTTGTGAACTTTCAGCAACTGAGATAGCTTCGACATGTACTGCGCATGTCAAGCCACTGGCCACCTCCACGTACAATGCTAGGAGAAGTTGAATTAGTTTGGAAGAAGGCTCAGGGTGGTCAGAATAAGATGTGGTACCGGTCCATACAGTATTTGGTTGGTACTGTGTTCTGTGTAGGGACTGCCTGTTTAGAGTCGTCGAGCTAAGAAAAATCAACAGTATGAGACCTTTGGTGATGTGATTCAAAGTCGGTCACAATAGTGCAGATAAATTCACTCCTTGACATTCTGTAAATATTGAACATTTTCACCAATATTGATTTTCAAACTCCTGTTCCCCCATACATTTTCATCGGCCTTCTTCTACCCACTTGTTCTTTGTATGCCACTTTGAATTGTGGTAACTTATGTGCGAGTTTCTACGCCGATTTTATCCGCCCATCTGTCATCTATCCCAGTGTGGCGTACTGAACTGAATCGCTCTCTTGAATTTGCATGACGTCAAATGAATAAATCATTCACATTCAAGACTCAAATAATCTAGAGAAGTATTGAAAATCAGGCGAATACTTTATTCTAAATTGGCGCTCTTCAAAATGTGTAACCACAAGTCTGTGTTAGCCACTGTCATATAATCCAACATTCCAAATGTTAGAACTTTAGTGTTATGATGGAGGCTTGATGATTACTTTGAATCGTGTTTATACTATATCTGTCCAGTTTTGATCACATAACTACACCATAGTTCTACTTTCAGAGTAACTACAAAGTCAAAAATAAAACGCAAAATAAAAATTCGCAGACATCAGAGACACAGTTCATTGGTTGATATCTGATCCTAGCATACAGGGAACGGTCTTACCTCTTAATTTACGATATCTGTAATGTTTTCAACTATTTCTGTTCAATTATTAGTTTATAATTCATGACTACAACCTTTACTGCTATTCATGCTTTTTTCTTCATCTTCTTTACTTACTAATGAGCAAGAATGATGACTACAGCTTCTAAAAGGATGCTTAGACCACCATAAAATTTGAACACAACCATTTTCGGGTTACCAGTCGAGTGGTCTACTGATTATCCAACAACACTTGACTGCTAACGAAGTTTCAGTTTGTCTGTAATTATCAACATTTTTATTTGATTGTGGGGGAACAGTTTTTATATTTATTACATTAGCCATCTTGTTTGGTACCGCTATTCAGATAATAAGGTAACAGGTTGTTGAATTGGAAGCAGCTGCCTGGAATTCAATCACAAATTATGTTCCCTTTCAATTCAATCTAATCATGTCCTAAGTAATTATTAGTTTAGTAAACAAGTTTTTTATTTTAGTTAAATTAAGAGTTCTTTACTTTTGTAAAGTGTAAATTCAATTGTCATACTGTAAATCTAGAAATATTTTCTACTCTGTTGGGTTTACTTATACTTTGTTCATAGTTGTTCCACGGCATATGAAGGATGTTACGGTGGCAATGGGAGTCGAACACTCAACAGTTTCTTATGTGTTGTATGTTAGGAGTCAATCAGCAAGAAGCCCTGTCCTTGGGTTTGATGCTGTTTGGCATTTATTAGCAAAGTATATATGTTACCATGAGGAAACTGGTATTCTGTTGGTGATTCGAACCTGCCCCACTCCGTGGTGAAGTCAGAAACTTTAGCACGTCCAACGTTTGCTGCTAACTGGACTCCTAATATCTGGTACCAAAACGCAGTTTATCACAGTGTTGTGTCACTTTGCCTGGTGACCAAATTGTAGACTTGATAGGTAGACTTCGATCAGCGTTTAGAATTAAGGTATAAACAACTAGATTCATTACCTATCAGTGATCGATTCATGTATTCTCGTGTTTTTCTACGTCAGTGGCAGTATTTCACAGCTATATAATAGGAGAGAATACTGCTAAGCAATAGACAACGTATTCTAATTAGAACTCTAGTACTGTTGTATAATTCCAGGTGAAACTTGCAGTATATGTGAATGTGAAAAGAATTCAGAATGAAAATATCAGACAAATCCAGTTTACAAAGGAAATATTCTGTGACTGGGATATGATAAGTTAATGTCTGATTTTCATGCCATCTCCTAGTTACGCGAAATTCTTTTGAAACTAATCAGGTATATTTGTAATCTATCAGATTTGAAAGTGAATTAAATTGAAATTAAAACATTTTCACTTGCCGCTAAAAGTAACTAACATAATTGATAAGTATTTTTAGTTTCAGGTTGGTATTCATCATGGACTGACATCAGCTGGAGAAACATTGGATACCTGGAAGCACTGAACAGTTATTTCGTTCTAGTGTTTGGCTCCACAACAGTGAGCACCCATGACCTTTAGGTTTCGTGGCCAGTACGTTACCTTTGAGCCACTGGGTCGGAAGCAAATGGTTCATAATGCTTACTTCTTTCAGAGTAAGACAGTTTTAGTTTATTTCACCATTTTAGTTTGAGAAATTACCGTTAGCTAGCCTCTTGCTAGTTGATGAGGAGGAAACGAATTACTAACTAGTACAATTCCTTATATCAGTAATCTTACAATCATTAATTTTCGCCAAACAGGACAAAGTGGTAATTGGGAGTCTCAGAAATAGTGAAAATATCTTGATTTAAGGATCGGATAAGAGCTCTGGTGTTGCTAATGTGCTATGTGCCAAATGGACTGGCATAGTTATGTCATAGAGAAGAATTCGGTTCTCGGTGACCTATTCTGATTCATAAATGATAGGTGCAACATAAATACTATGGATTCAACAGAAAGATGAATCACAAAATAGCTGAAGAAGAAACTGATACACAGTTTGACGTACCATTACCTGAAGTTTCAAGTGACTTGTCTGTATTACGTTTATGTCCTCCCAAAGATGCACAAGCCAACTTTTCGGCAAGAATGCATACCATAAAGTTTCTAGTTGGTCAGTAGAAAAATTAGAACCTATTCACTGACACCTAGCCAAATACTTTGCTTGATACTTGCTTCCACTTTTTGAAATGTCAGATGAACTGCACGTTTCTGAAAAGTATTCGATATCCTTTGATGTGACTTCCTTATTCACAAACGTATCTCTCCCATGGGATGGAAAGGATTATCTATCATCATCCTGACTTTCTGCTACTTCCATTTATTAATTCAAATGACTCTTACTGTGATGCACTAAGAACGTTCAATTTCAACTTAACAGGATTTTAACTCATCAAATTAACAAAATAGCCATTAGCAAATCACTGAGTCCCGTATATGCAGATATATTTACGGAAAATCTTAAACTAACAATGCTGAAATATGCAACTGGAGGCACAAAATCTTGAGCTATCTACTTCAATATGCTACATATGTTAGGGTCAGAAAGATCACTTTATGACAGGGCAACATATCAGTGACTATACAGATCTGTTATTATTTCAAATAAACAACTATGCAATGGAGAAATATCTCAGTTGTTTATCAAAATTATTACTGTTCAATAAGTAATGAAGAAGTAACTAGTTAACAAAGAAATTTTATTTCTTTTTTTGGGACTGTTTACTTGTTTGTTTCTTAGTGTAAACTTGTAAACTAGGTAAAGTAATATTAATATTAGGTGAACATAAAGAACATGTAGATAGATGAATAGACGGATAAGGTATAAAAGATTCAAAGTAGAAGTATCATAAACAAATGTGTGTATAACACACAGAAAGAAAAGTAGACGGGGTATTGACTGACATTTTAATTATTTAATTAGTTAAAACACACTAATAACTTTGTAATTGTAATAGTTAAATGAGACATACTAGTCGGAAAGATAAAATAAAAAGAAGAAAGGATAGGAAGGGGATATTGTTTCTATTATACTTTTGTTATTGTCATTTTTGTTGTTAAACTGTATACTTATCAAACGAAAACAGGTAAAAATGTAACGCAGTGAACATTACATGGGTAAGCGAATAATGAAAATATTTATAATATTTTAAATGATAAAAAGATTAGGGTATGGTGCATAATTTGAGAAGGCTTTCAAAGGTGGATAAACGAATAGATAGGTGTAGATGTCCTTCAGTGTGATCGATTGTTAAGTGTGCCGTTTATGCATGGTGTGTATTATGAACCCTTGTGCTGGCCAATCATTAAGAAGCAACAACTTATCATTCAGGTATATGAACAAGTAATTAGGACATAAACGGAAAAAATGACACGAAATTAGCGAAAATGATTTTTGATGAGCCTAAACCCATCAATTAGATGGTTTTTTGAAGGGAGTAGAAACGATGCTCATCTAAAAATGTGAATCTACCGCTGGAAATAAAAATAACCTTCAGATATTGAAGGTAAATTGGGTGTAGGATCAAGGTAAAGGAAGTGAAACCATAGATATGTGTATGTGTGTGTGTGTGCATATGTATTCATGACTTTTTTCCTGTTTTTCTTCCAATACTCAAAACATAGAAATACAACAAAATTCTTTTCAGTTTTAAAAACAACACAATCCACACACAAACAGAGTATGCTGAGTACAGTATCTAAGCTAAATGAAGCTGGAAAATGAACAATGTGGGCTTTTGCAAGAAGTATAGTGAATAGTAGAAAGCATTGCAGAAGGTGATTCAATTAGGTCTTTTTTAGATTATAATATTGTGTCGATCATATTATAATTTAACACAGTTACTCTTCTTCAGGAGCCAAACTAGCCGTTGGTTTACGAGCACGATTCTGCAAAATAGATGACAAAGATTTACTATTCATATCGGTCTTCATGATAAAATGTTTCATACACTGAGTGAAAAGTATTCTCAAATGTATAAAATAGGTTAACCAGTTGAATTATTTGTTTATTAGTGCTCTGAAGATCATAAGGACATCTAGTGTTTAATAATTTCATAGTAGAGTAGTAAAAAGGTTAATTAGAGTTTACTTTTTATAATGACGACATAAATCTTATTGTCATCACCATACAATACATATCACTGAAAACAGCTAAACTACTTTATGTAGTCAAGCATTGAATGTTTAACACTTTGATTTAGTTATTCAGCTCTTCTAGAGTGGAAGTTATAACAGGACATCTCAAATAACACAGTAATATGTTGAAATCAAGACAAGGTGTACTCTGACTGTAGGCATGCAGTGTAGTTAACATTCAGTGTCTCTAAATCCTTGCAGCTCCTTTGTTCTTAAGCGTCCACGGGTTTTGAATACTCATCAAAATTCAACTTTAACAAACAATATGATTTATCCCAGTTTTTTATGTTTATGAACAGACTATTTCTTTTTTTCACATAGTGAAGCAAGCAGTAAATGTGACTAACTGGATGACGGGGTACATGAGATTCATATCTAGAATAAACTGCATCGCTGAAGTAACTGCAGGTGATGCGTCACCACCTTCTACTTTGCTAATTGTCAAGTCTATCATAGCCTCTTCAACTTTGATGAACTGTTATGAAGGTCTGCGTTTCACTAAGTTGAATGAAAATTAGTAAATGAAAGGCTGATGACAGCTAGTTAAATCACTTCTAACAAAACTGTATTCATATTTTCAGTAGTGTGATCTCAAAGTGGACCATTGACTTACCTACTTAAATTATTGTGATTAATCAAGGCTTTTTTAAAAAGTTCCACCGATTTTGTTCATGATTTTTTTGCAGTTGCTAGAATTAGAACTTTTCTTAAACAACACAGATCTCCATCAGTACGAGTTACAAGTTTTCCCACAACTTTTAAATGATAATGGAAAGCCATTCTGTTATGAGGCCCTAGTTTTGCAAAGAACATTGTTATTCATCTTGATATGGAGATAGAGATAAAAGCCTAGTCTGCATAGTGACCAATCAAAATATACTTTATACTTTCACGTCTATAGTTAGATAAACAGATGCTGGATCAGCCAATCAATATTATGATTTTAAACAGTGAAGTATCTACATATTAGCTGCATTTCCTGTTTGGCATTTTCGGTCTTTCGACCCTAATACACGTATCTACACGTCCATCGTTTCTTCTCCTCTAATTAGTCGGGTCGGGAATCAACTAGGAACTTGTTGAGTGTTGATGGTTGACAGTCGATATCTGTGCATCGTTAGGAGCCATAGCACATACCACTCTCCAATTCATAACACATTCATCAACACAGCGTACAGTAACATTCAGCATTTGAACTTCCTGGTTTGTCCTCTAATCTCCATTTACTCTCGGTAAACATTCTTTATGAGTTCGATCATCTAAGATAACCGTGGTTTGGTAGACTTGTAGTGATACTAGGTAATGATTGAAGGTGAATCCTGCAGCGACAAAAATTTCCCGGTTCACCTTCAAACATTCGATAGCTAAATTAAGTATTACTAGTCATAGAAAACACCTCACTCAAGTAACATATTGCATTAAATATATTTTCAATAAAACGAACTGACACAATATTTTTCAGATTAAACTTACTGCATGAGCAGGTCCACCAGCTGGTGCAACACTTACACCACGTGCAGTTGAAACAGATGAACGATTTTTAGCTCTAAGTTTTTGTAAGGCTTGTTCAGCTTGATCAGCACGTTCTTCAGCATCTTCAATTTCATGTTGTATCTTACGATATTTAGCCAAGTTGATGGCAGCAATTTCTTCAGCTTCTTCAACTTGTCGTTTGTATGTTTTAATTTTACCTTGTAACTTTTCAACTAATTCTTGCATACGATCATGACTCTTTTTATCCTCTTCACCCTTTAAAAAAAAACACCATTTTGATGTCAGTTAAAATTAACTACAATGAAAAATTCACATTTTTTAAATAAAAACATTTAATGGCTTATTCATTAAATGATTGGATAGATTTTATTTCCAGTAGAAATATTTATATGTTGATCTAGTCAAGATAGAGATGAGAATAGTTGGTCACTTCTGAAATTGGACAATGGCTTCATAATGTCATAGATTGACTGAAGTCGGAAAATACATGGAATCAACTTGGTACTCCATCGTTTATTCATCGTGTTCTGACGAGGAAATCTTTTGTTTCTTGGTTTACTTTCATAAAAGACTACACAAAAACGATATTCCAATGCTGATTAATTTCTCTTAGTCCTATAACTTATATTATTTAACAGTAAGAAATATTTGTAAGAACTAATTAATCTTTCATAAATAGCCTATTCCAATTAATTAATGACATACTTGTAAACTGATTTCTTTCATTCGTCTATCAACTTTTCTGAGATTCTTCTGAGTCTCACCATGTCTACGTTGTTCAGCTTCCAGTTCAGTTTCTAATTCACGTACACGTTGCTCTAATTTTCCCATTGCTTTGCGACCATTTTTCATTGCTCCTGATTCACTATCTTCTAAACGAGCCATAAGTTCTTTGACCTTGAATGATTAACAAAAGAGCACATTACAATAGGATGATAACAGAATGGATATATATATATATATATATATGGGCTGTTACATAAACTTTATCTATCGTGCACATGCATTTTTGTTAGGAGTAGGGGCTGAATAAAGGTTACTTAACATAACACCAATTCTGCAAGTCCCTTTACTCTGATGTAAGGCAAACGATGGAGTACAATTATTAGGTAACTATGCATGAAAATAATGTAAATGAATCAGATGGATACACTTTATTCTGCATCCATTTAATCCCATAGATTTTGGGTATATCAAATTATTTTGAAATTTCTTACTTCCTGTAAAATTACTCTACTTTTTTAAGGATTTATCGTAAGTTGACGCAAAAACTGTTGAGTCAAAATTTCTCCAGTTCATCAGCTGCTAAACTCTATTTATGAAAGACTGTATCCAGCTCCCATCTGAATACTAAACACGTGATTTTTCCTTTTTCGCCTGACAATCTATCTAGTCAAGCCGTCTTCCCTTACAGATGAGTAGAAACGTATTGGGTTTTTGCCAGATTACGATAATTTTGAAAGCTAATTACTGTACTGATATAATGAAGGTGAACTTAGTTCACCTGTCTGTAGTAAAAGAGAGTTATTACAATTAATCAGAGGAACTCAAATATTTGTACAGGTAGTGCAGCTAGACTGTGGAAACATCTAGAGATGAGAATAAATCTCATAAGAAGTGCTTTTAGAAGCAAAACCAAGTTCCAGTCCTCCTTACTGACAATTAACTAAGTAACATTCTAACACATTCTACTGAAAGTAAGCGTCAAAACGCTTTACGTGTATAATCTTTATTATTGTCACTCATAAACAGAGTGGATACCTACAACTGTGAAAATACTCATACTTCCTCTTGCTCCCAATGGCTTCGTGATCAGAAACGAAAAACCACTCTGTTATGACGCACAATCTAACTAATAAGGTGGCATAGAAGGAAATGAAACGGAAGTACGAAAATGACAACAAACATTTTCCTTGAAAGTTCCACACCAACTTCAGACAAGTAGTTGAATCCTTACCTGTATTTCAAGTTGCTTTCTGGCCTTTTCAACATGTTGTGTATGTTCTTGTTCTTGACGAATCTCTTCAAATACACGTGCACTATCAGCCATTGCTTTCTTTGCTCGTTCATCAGCTTGTTTCGCTTCATTGGCAGCTTCTTCAAGGTCAGCCTAGTTATGCGAATAAAAATAAAAATCAGGGATTAAGAAAGTAATTTAGATATACAACTAAACAAAGTGAATGTCCATGCTATACAAGTAGGAATCCCTGTGATACCCACTGAAAAAGGAAATTTCTAATTTCTAAATTACCGTAATATATTGTAATGCATTCTTTGTATAACAATATTCAGTGGATACATTAAGTCTTGGATGCTCCTCTAATCTTAGTAGTTCCTAACTTTAAACATCAGTCAGCTTATCAAAACAAGTATGCTTAGGCATATTAAACAATCAGTGAATGAGGTGTTCTCTGTCTGAGTACAAAATATTCTGCAATGAAACCATTGCTAAAAGCTATCGATATTCATCTGACATACATACACTTTTACTATGAACATTAGGCCACATATCAGCCTTTTGAATTGCATTTCGTTGAAAATTAATAAGAAGTTAGTTAATACAATTCACTGTGAACACTTCATAGCTATGTATATTGGTCACTTGTTCGAATGAGACAAGAAGTGATTTAAGTTGTTTCCTTTTGTGGTTACACATCATATGAATGAGAAAAGCAGCCAGCTAATGATGTGGACCTGATAGTTAGTCATTCTAATTTAATTACATTTCAACCGATCCACTGCCATCAGATGTTGGATATTTCGTTTCCTTAAAAAACATTATCCCTCGCGACTTGTTACCTATGATTCGAAGTAAATAGCATGAGTGTTGTGCAAAAATCAACACAGTGAAGGTGTTAACACGACCACAGGAAGTGGCTAGTGGCAACTAGTAGCAGAGTGCTCGTCAAATTTCGCAAATGTGGTCATGAAGCAGGCTGAGTTCTAATTTAGCCTATGTATAACTTTGAAGTGAAATTTTCCTGACTTTGGGGTTTGATGATTTCATGCTGTCTTACTGAGCTACTTATGAGTAGCATAATATTAAACACTAATTTCATCGTTGAAGAAATTGAGCTTCATCAACGGAGTTCTTGACAGCGGAATAGTGGTTATTTTTATTGTTGCTTTACGGGAAATTGAACTTGCCACATATTCCAAGAGTTCTGTGTTGGAGAAGTTACCTTGTTTAAAAGTGCTCATAAAGCTAGCAGTTATCTTAAATTTCACGTGAACTTAATGAACTTTGAAATAAGTTTAAACAACATTGTGTCTATCCATGAAAACTCAATTTCAGAAAGCAATAAAACTACGGAAGAAGCAGCAAAACTTTAGGGAAGTTATTCTTGCAAGACATTACTTTCAAAACACTTCTCTGCTGTAATTTAAAAGCACATCGTACACTAACTCACTTGCATAGCAGCTAAATCTGCTTCGAGCTTGCGTTTTTGTGCAGCGAGTGAGGCTGTCTGAGTGGACATTTCTGTGGCACGATCGGAAGCTTCGGCTCTTTCAGCTTCAGCAATCTTTCTGCTACGTTCGGCTTGGTCCAGTGCAATGCGTAATTCATCTAGTTCACCGGCCAATACAGTTGCACGACGTTCAGCCGCTTGGAACTGTTCACGTAGATCATCACGTTGACGCTGATCATCTTCTAGTTGTGTTTGTAATTCACGTACTTGTTGTTGGAATTTCTTGACATTTTTCTCTTGTTCGGCTCTAGCACGATTTGCACCATCCAAACTAACTTCCAATTCATTAATATCTTGTTCAAGCTTCTTTTTAACTCGCATTGCTTCTGCTTTACCCTTAGCTTCAGCTTCTAAACTGGCCTGTTGAGATTCCATAGCTCGTTGATGATTTTTACGTGTAGCCTCGAATTCTTCTTCTTTCTCTGCTAGACGTCGATCAATTTCTTGACGCAACTATCAATAAAAAAGTGAATAAAGTAATAGAACCAAGGATGTCCACTAGTCTTGAATTACTAATGATTTTACGACTTGAAATACACCCGTTTTTCGAGTTGACTGAGTCTTCAAGCTCTCCGTTGAATAATCACTATTACATTAGACTTTTAAAATTAAGGTGTACTGATCTCTAAGTAGCCATCCTTATTTGGTAAGCTACTAAATACGTAAACACATAAGCGTTCTCGATAAATTATAGTTATCTAAAAAGAGATTTATAATTTCAGTCTTATATCCCACCCTTTTTCTATTATCTTATCCTTCATCAGAAGGTTCATTCTATGCATAGGATTTTTATTTCATCCAACATGAAGTTTAAGTTGGTCAGGTGAATTTTCTGACCAGACAGAAATCAGTTTTCTGAATGCATCATTTCAAAACCAAAACTGCTACGAAGTTGCAATGAAATTCGTTATGAATGAGATCTAAAAAATGTTTTTGCTTGAACACAGAGTGTTAATTCACAGCAAAAGTCAATGGGTTTCTACATTTAGGTTGACAAAATTTGACATCAGCTAAGTTTAGCAGCATTAAAATAATGACCAACAGCTTGCTTCAATAGTCGGGGAACTTGATCGTGGCATCATGTATAGAAAGGTAGTGGGAATATGCCTACTCAACATGCAACATTAGTTCTCTGAAGATGGTAACTGACTGTCGTAATTTCCATTCCAACGATCGAAAATGTCTGTCTTCAATTAGCACTAAAACTATAATAAAAGAAATGATCCTGAAAATAAAAGTGGTACAGATCCAGTACCATTGGAATGTATACACATATTACGGTTTATCATAATAAATAATAATGATGATAGGCAATGAAAATTTATATCCTCTAACCTGACTCATTTCAAGTTGAGCACGTTGAACTTTAGCTTCTTCTTGCTCAAGAGCACTTTCAGCTTCTTCTAATGCAGCTTGAAGTTCCTCTTTCTCCATTTCAAGTCGTCTTCTATTCTTATCAATTTCATGTACTGAACGTCCACCTTCACCCAGCTGTTCAGTAAGATCATGAATTTCATCTGAAAGTAATATTATGAGAAGTTAATTTTCGTTAGCTCAATTAGCAAAGAATCCGTTAAATCAATTGAATATGTCTGAAATATATCTAATAAACCTCAAAGTTCTTTTTTTTATTGTCCATCATCAATGCTTCTCTGAGATTCTGTAGAAAATCTTGTCTAATATCTTTCAGAACCATATTCAGAGACATTATAAGCTATGTGCACTTCTGATAACTTCTTTACTTTATAAAGATATCTTCTAGATCTGATAAAAGATAATCGTTTTTTGTTCTGGATTATTGAAGGCTTTGCATCTATCCTACAAAGTTGCATTGTTAAAAACGATTGGTTTATCACTCGAATATTTTCACATTAAAACTTCGTTTAAGACAGACAGTTTGGTTAAAATAGTCTACTGACGCATTAATGTAGACTGTCTAGTTTCGGTTTACGAGACAACAGGAATCACTGGTTCAGAACTCTTGATAACATAGCTAAAAATCAGTCACAATGGTGCAAATGTATTTAGTTTTTGATACCTTTCAAGCTTCAGTATTTGCACTAACGTTTATCTTCAAATTATTTATTTTGTAATATAGCTTTGTCTACTTTGATTTCACTCTTTTTCTGTACACTTTTTTTTATATACTGGTTTGTAGTTTGGCAACTTGAGCCAATGCACCCGTGTTTAAGGTTCTACGTTGATTTCATCAGTCAGTCATTGATACTCTAATGCATAGTTATATCAGTTGGTAATCACTATTTATCAGAATTTGTATACTAACCACTTAAGTTTTTGTTTTCTCTACGTAGCCCTTCCATTTGTTCATGAACTTCTTCGAGTTGAGCTTTTAGCCGGAAGATTTCTGTTGATTGACCACGAGCATCACGTTGAGCATTTTCTAATTCAGCCTTATAACAAAAATAATAAAAAGAAAATTATGATCACAAATTATTGGATATAGTTTGTTAATATCTTCTCAAGTTTCTACTTTTATTCTCCATCGAATTCTAAGCAACATTCTATATTGTCGATTAAATGCCGCTGCTTAGCATGTAACTTTACTTGAATTTTTTTGATAATATACAAAATTCTTTAGGAAAACTAAGAGTAACCGATGGCTGACTAAAAAATTTATCCGAAATTTATCTGAAAATGTTAGATTTACAAATTAACCGAGTAAAGTTTACTGTAAATCAATCAGATACTGAGAAATCGAACATTTACTTTGAATAAACATCTCATAAGCTTACAACATTGTCACAATTTCAAGACGATACTTAATTTTCTAGGCAGTTGTTGATTATGAATCTCGATGGAGCGTGTATGTAGGTTTCATAACTTCTTCAACAGTCTCGTATACTTTGTTTTTTTTATTAGTAACGAATAAATAAAGTAAATGTTTGTTATAAGGTAGTATACATTTCAAATTTGTCAAATGATTTTACTCAGTAATGAGTAAAAACTACTGTCTGTATTTACAACATTTACCCAACAGTTTTCGAACGCTTGTTGTTGAATGAATCTTTATCGTTTTATTTCTGGTGAACAACCGTCAGTGAGGCTGAACATAATACAAACAATAAACAGGAAACTATTGACAGTAATGTTATGCTTGATAATGTCATCAGTGATTTCTTTCATCAGTTCCTTAGAGATTGGACGTTTCGGAATAAGTAAACTTTTCCTCCATGCACTCATCTAACTTTCAGCAACCTTAAAAGTCAGGTTGTAAACTACACTAAAACGTTTCTAACCTCTGAATATAACTTTTTATAAATAAATTCTGCATATCAGTCTAGATAACATTTTACTGTCATATTTGATAAATAACTATATATGAGAGTAAGAAAAGGCTGCCGCCTAGTACCACCGATGATCTTCTTGATTGTGGTGAACTGGATCATACAACAAACTGTGAGGAGCGAGAAGAGGAGCATGTGCTGAATGGACCGATGAAAAGACTACAGAAGAAGATTTGGATTTCACCGATGTCGATTTATGTATAATAGTGCATAAGCTCGAAGATACATAGGCGAAAACCAGCAAGTTGGCAGAAGAGGCAAGACACGGAAGGAAGGCGGGACTTTCTTCAGGTGAACGTAGAGAAGACAAGGGTGATGAAGATACCCAACCAACAACAACAACAAGCACCAATCATCAGCAATGAACAAAACCTTAAAGAAGTAGCCCCTTTCACCTACTTACCTAGGCAGCATTGTCTCAACTACAGGGGGTGGTACAGATGCGGACATCAAAGCCAAGATCGGGAAAGCAAGACAGGCCTTCATTACTCTGGAACCAGTGTGAAGACCTACTGCGCTGCACTGCACTGAGCATAAAGAACAAGATCAGAATTTTCAACACTAAAGTCAGTGCTTCTATATGGTTGGGAGATTTGGCGCGTTACGAAAAGCATTTCCAACAAACTGCAGACATTCGTCAACAGCTGAAGATCAGACGGCCAGAATAATACGAATAAGCAATGAGGAAATCTGAGTGGCTGGCTGGCAACGAACCAATCAACAACCTGTCACACAACAAATAAGCAGAAGAAAGTGGAGATGAATTGTGCATACACTGAGAAGACCATTCGGGGACATCACGAGCCAGGTCAGACCCTTGAGTGGAAGCGAAATGGGAAACGACGAGTTGGGTGTCTGGGGATGACATGAAAGAGATTATGTGAGGGAAAATGAAAGCTTGTGAGCAGTGGTGGAGTCAGGTTAAGAAGACTGCAGAGAAGAGAGTGAAATGGCGAAGTGCTGCTGAAACCATATGTTCCACTAAGAACCCATGGGGCTAATAATAATAATAATAATAATAATATATATATATATATATATATATATATATATATATATGAGAGAAAAATAACTATTCACCTGAGAATCAGCATATTTCTTTTGCCATTCAGCCAATGTACGATTAAAGTTGTTTTGTTTACGCTCCAGTTGACTTGCTAATCCATTTGCTCGTTCAACATCAACCATGAGATCTTCTAATTCACCCTGAAGTCTTGCTTTTGTCTTTTCTAACTGACCACACTTTGATTTAGCTGATTCAGCTTCAGATTCTAACTCTTGTATTTTAGCATTCATTTTACGTTTTAATTCTTCAACTTCTTCAGAGCGAACATCACCACCACCGCCACGTGTACGTAACTGTTGTAATTCACCTTGCATCTTTTGTAATTGACGTTGTAGATCAGCTTTAGCAGATTGCTCTTCTTCTAAAGTTTCGCGTAGTGAATCTAAATCACTGCTCAAATTACGCACCTCACCGTTTAGTTTAGCTTTCATCTAAATAATGTTAAAAATATGATCATTATAGTTAGAATAATTGAAACTTTAATTGTAAAACTTTAGTAATCACTAAGAATGACGTTTGGAATTGAAAATATTTTGTATTCAGAGGAAATTCTAATCGAGGACCTCTGAACTGTCAATCTGCTGTCCACTACCAACTGAACTGTGAGATTTGTACTCCGCTGAAACACATTACCGCAATACTTACATCTATGAACATATCTTCAGTCACTATAACACATCGAATCTGACCAACTTATTTAAATCTGTTGCCGGAAGAAGGGATGATCAATGAACGCACTGGATTCTGTATGGTTCTATCTCAATTCTTTTTAGACATTGAATAGTTCTTCATCTCAGGATTTTGCATGCTGAATCAGTATGAATGATTTCTAGGTTTAAGATTAGATGCATTTAAGCCTACAAACTCACTTCGAAATAAGCTTTGTAGGTTAAAGGATCCTTTTGAGTCAATAAGGCAGAATAATTTAGTTTAACCGAATCCCTTGCAACGACTGAGTGGTCAAATACATAGGTCAAAGTAGTTGACCAGGCTCAATTAGGCTATCTGAACACAAAAACCTAACTAGGTCAACATTAGTAGATTCTAGTTATATAAGGAATTCAGAAAAACTCGGCTACAGCTATGGATGCAACTACGCAGAACCACACAATATGATGATACACGGGGGGAATTCTTGAAGCTAATATATCAGGGTGCAGGGAGAGATTGATAAGTGGATTTTCGTTTATCGAAAAAAATCCTATACAAGAGACAGTAATGACTAAGGAGCTGTTCCAGATATGTGGAAAATCCTACTACCCAGATCACGAAGGAGACAAAAAAATAGGACTATGTAGAGGACGTTCCAAAGTTGAGTAGTTATCTTGATATGACTATGGTTAATAAATTATGTCCGAAACGTAATCCAGTAAACACTATTGTTATATTGTCGGATAAATCTAATAAACCAACTAAAATGGAATTGTATTCTACCACAATACTAACCAAGTGGAATTGGTGGTGAATGAAACTGTTGTAATGTGCAATAAGATTGCTCAGATTCTCATAAGAAACCCTGAATCCCTGACACCTTTCACGACTAATCAAGTTGCTTTGGAATTTCGATAAAAAACACATATACTTAGTATGACCATCAGACTGGTTGAACAGGCAAAAATCAATAGGACGTGTTATTCTAGAAAGGCCCAGATACAGGCAAGGTCAATTAGGAAAAGACTGAACATGGTTTTTACACCTCATCTTCTGCTTATATCAGTTTAACTAACAGTTTTGAAATTGTACTCTTAATGACATAATTAGTCTGTCATATAACCTCCTGCTTAACAACTATTCAGGCTTGCCTTATCTCTTTCAACCTTCGTTGCCAAACAATACCAACATTTTGTGTCAATGTATACCCCATTGATACAACAAATCAAGAATATGGTTGTAATCCCTTTGATAAAAAAGAATATAACATTAAATGTAATTTTTACGCACTCTACTTTCATCTTCTAAACTATGACGAGCTTCTTCAAGTTGTGCACTCAGTTGTTGTTTGATTTTACCTAGTTGACTTAATTGCGATTCAGCTTCTTCTAACTGTCTTTGTAATTCTGATACTTCTTGGCTGCTACGACTCTTATTTGAAACTTGTTCATTTAGATTACGATTAGCTTCATCCAATTTAGCTGAGAGTTCTTGCAGTTGAGCTTCTAAAGCTTTGACAGTCTTTTCAGCATTTAACTAGAAGAGGCGATAAAAAAAGCCAGAAAAATAAAATGAGTTTAGATTGGAGTGTATATTAAAAGAGTATAGGATGGATGAGTTTAGACATACACAATGACTAAGTAAATGAATATAATAATGAATAAACCAACTGCTCACTTTTCCCTTCATTAAACCATCCATTTGATTATGAGCGTCATCCAATTCAGCTTTGAACTGACTACGTTCTTTTTCAGCTCTAAAAATTAAAGTATCACAAGAAATTATTAGAACTAATATAAAATGTGAATGAGATGGAAGTAACTTTAGCTTATAGAGCAATAACACTTGAACCAGATTAGTATAGGTCGGTACTGATTAAAAGGATTTTAAATGTCGTTTTACTCATAATAGTAGCATTTCAGTTGTAGTCATCCGTAGAATACATGAGACGACTTGACCTACTATTGTTTCACTGACGGTTTGTTTCTGGGTCAGGTTTAAGAGAAATTTCTAAGTGCCTAATAACACTCCCTTTTACAAGCCACAAGTTATCGTCAAACCTTATTCCGGTCTTTTGAATAATGAGGGTATAGTTTGAACGGTGATTGCAGCTGAACTCAAACGATAAGTACTTAACAAGACCCCGGTTATTGACTTGACTGACAGTTGTTATTTCTCTTTCTAAGAGACTTGTAAAGTGATATTCTCAACCCACAGGTTAAAATAATTAACTTATGTGGCAATAAAAAGTCTCTTATGTAGTACATTTAACATTTTAAGAATCTCTTCAGCCGATAACAACAATAAACCTATTCATTCCCAGTTGAATGTTTGAAAGTAGATAATCAGCAGGAAATTTTAATTGAGTTTATGGTCATTATTTTCAGTGAAACTTAGGAAAAACAAACGATTTTCTGCCCTTTAGGTGTCAGCATAAAAATGGAGTTTCTTTACAGTTAATCAGGAAACGAATTGAAGTAACCTGTCTTCAGACAAGATAAAGCATGAAATTTATAGATAATACTTCGGCGGAAGGTCATCAATGCGCCTTCGTTAGCAAACTTCACTTACTTGGCTTTGGCCTTATTAGCTTGATCTAACTGGTCAGCCATTTCGCTGACAGCATCGTTTTGCTTTTTACGCATTGCAGCAATAGCTTGTTCATTCTGTAGTCGAGTTTCTTCTAAATCACGTTTCAATTTCATTAATTCAGCTTCACGTTTCTTTGTTAGATCACTCTGAGCTGCTGTTACACCATCTTGTTCTTCAAGTCGGTCAACAACTTCTTCCAATTCACTTTCAAGCTTAATGTTAGAAAAACAGTAAATGAGTTTGATAAATATATCAAATATTTTTTAGTGCGAAACTTGGGCCGTATCAAGTAAGAACTATACGCATTTATATATGTATGTACGTGTAAAGCAGAGAAGTTTTTTTCTTCTCATAGAAACAGCAACAATCATCAATGAGTAAAGAATGACAAAAGCCTTAGAACGTAACCATCAAGCTAGGTGACAGCGTTTCATCGCAGTGTGTTACATGTTTGATACAAGTGGGCGATAACCGTTAAGCAGCCAATTTTCAAATGGATACACAATTATATTTGCATAAGTTGTGGTACCACAATCAGATTGATTGCTGAATCTTTATCTGAAGCTCACTCCAAGGATAATTAGATTGCTTTATACACCTATTCTGTGTTTAGCAAGATGTGGCTTTTCTATGACACTTCCATTTGAGAGTGCGATAAGAATACTTCGCCTTCATAGTGAGTTTGAAAAAGTGTGCCATAAAATAAGATAACTATACAGTTTAAAACTGGAAAGGCTAGCATACCTGTTGTCGGCTTTTCTCTGCCTTTGATCGAGCTGCACGTTCAGCTTCTAAATCTTCTTCCAGTTCTTGAATACGTGTTTGAAGTTCCTTGATCTTTCGTTGCAACTGAGCTACCAAACCTTGTTCATCTTCAAATTTACCACTTAATCCACTGATTTCAACGTCTTTACGACGTAATTGTTCTTCTAAATCACGTTTAACACGTTCAAGATCATCCACAGTTTCTTGAGTGGCTTTTAAATCACCTTCTAATTTACGTTTAGCTTTTTCTACATCCCCTCTGACCTTTTGTTCACGGGCTAAATTCTCTTCCATCTGAAATGTGTAAAATAAACTGTCAATAGTAAATACTTTACCGAAAACAATGCGTATTAACAGTTACTTGAAGAATAAAACAGGTTTTCCTCTTCTGTACTTTATAAGCCGGAATGGTCTTTATCTGAACAAAGAGATCCAATGGTCAGAAGACGATGGTAGTAAAAAAATCAACTAGCTGAAGCATTTGTAGTATTTAATTTTATCAATACTTGAACAAAGACTAGTCTATCCTTTATGAATTCCTACTGAAGGTAGTGACTAGTATGCCTATGACAGTTCAACAGTATGTTGCATAACTTCATCATCTTTTAGACTTTTATATCATAAAAATTTGTCTAGAAATTATTCCGAAGTATAACTAATTACATAAATGACAAAAGTGATTCGCTGGGCCTGATAAGTCATAGAATATGTTCTATGAAGAAACTTTGCGATTTAATTGGTAGAGCATCGGGTCGGAAAACTGGTGTTCGCTGATCCGAATTCGGCTGCGGTTCAAGTTTTCATTTCACCTTCAATCATCACCCGGTATAATTTAATACCTTTAGTATTTTTTTTACTGATTACTTTGTTTTATTACAAGTTATAGCTCATACACAAAACTGAATAAAGAAGTGATCTTTCAATAAGCTTTAAGTACGGATCCTAAAAATTACCTATGTTAAAAGTTCATATCAATTGCAGTTGGAGAAACCACACAACAGTCAGCTTGTTTTATTACTTTTATTCGGATTTTTCAGACCAACTGGTTAAAATGTTACAAAGAACCTTGAAAAGAATTTATATACTATTTTTCAATACTTGAAGTCCTAAAACTTAATCATTTAGTTTTCAAGTTCATTAAAAAAATCTTAGTTCGGAATACATAAGCGAAAAAAAACATTTAAGACTAGACAAAACGAACTTGGTAACTCTCCAGTGACTAATCAATGTGCCCAGTCAAGTCCTACCTGAGGTCAGTCTCCACTAAAGTAGATCATTGACAACGTCTCTGACTGTAGAACTGGGTGACATGGGTTTGAATCTCAGGCGGGACATTAGTTTCGTAGAGTTCGCAGATACGCCTTTCTGACAAGTGCCAAAGGCACTAAACCTAGTTCCAGATCTTCCTGTCGATTGCTTCCATCCAACTAACAGACGACCAACGTTTTTCTCAGGCTATCCTATGTGTTTGGCAAGGAACCCAAAACCACTCACATGTCTAGTTTTTGATAGTCGGAAGGTATTACTAAACCACTTACTCAAACGTCATCTAAGGTTTACAGTCCAGCTTGGGAATTACAACATTGGTGGGTTCGTTAGTGGAATTAACAATAGTTATTCTACGGTTAGTTGAAAGAAATGGGAAGGGAAAATCAGTGATTCGATAACAACTCACAACCCTGTATGCAGTCTTTCCTTTTTTTTCCTTTAACCATCAATTTTTATTGATTTCAACTCCGTTAACCTATGAACAATGTTTCGAAATGACTAGTTACAAAATTTTCTTCCGTTGGTCTGTTTCTCAGTTTACACAGTATTACAACAAATGCATTTTATTCAGATCATCACAAATGCTTACCTCATCTAAAGTTGATTCCAATTTCGCCTTCAGTTTATTCAAATGATTCACTTTATCTTCTTCAGCTTGTAATGCTTCTTGTGTACGCTTATTTTGTTCTTCTAAATTCTTCTTATCTTTGTTCAATTTTCCAATCGTTTCATCTTGTTGTGCCATTTCAGCTTGTAGTGTGCGTATCTGATTATCTTTGGTTTGTTTTTCCTGTTCTGCTTTCTGTAAAGATGATTCCAAGTCTTCGACATCTTTTTTCAATTCTTCGATTTCAGCGCTCATTTTCTTTTTCACTTCTGATAAGTTTGCAGCTTGATCTTCTTCATCAGCTAAGCGTTCTTCTAATTCTTTGATACGTTGTTCCATATCACCACGTTGTAAGACTAATTTAGAGATTTTCTCTTCAGCATCAGCTAAACTATCCTGTTCTGTTTGTAATTGTAAGAATAAATCATTCTTTTGTTGCAAAACAGTAACATTTTGTTCTTCTAATTCTTTCTTCAATTTTTCTAGCTTTTCGAATTCTTCCTTTAGTTTAGCTAATTCCTCTGCAGCTTTCTTCATTTCTTCTTCTTGACGTGCGATATTTAACATAGGCTTTACTTTAGTATAAAGTCTCCACCATGGCCAATTACGCAATATTAAATATCTACGTATATTACGTTGCATCAATGTTAGTGCAACTCTGAAGTGTTAAGAACAAAAAGGGTGGAATTAGATTAAGATTAAGATTAAGATTAGATTAAGTTCTAATAACCTACGGTAAATAAATATGAAGTACTGAATTTAATAACCAGTGGTTTAACTTGGTAGTATACATGTCATAAGAGCTTTTAAAGCGTAAGTGTAAAGTTTGTGAAAATAAACTATCTTTATTAACATTTATCTGTTTAACTTTTCTTGAAAAAAATAACGCATTATTCTCGATACTGATCGACAGTAGCCGGCAGGGCGATCTAGCTTACAAGTTTCATCCCACTTTGGGCTAATCGACTGGATGTACCTGCCACCTAGTGAGTGATGTTGTTTACGCTAAGATCCGAACCGGGGACCAATCGCTTAAAACAACAAAGCGTTATCCAGCGGGTCACTGAGTTATGATAGCCATTCCCTGTGAAACGAAAATAGTACAGATTTGATGTCATAGCTTATAATTTCTCTTCATCGTTTGGATCAAATTGATCACGAATATGCCAAACTTAAACCGTGGAACAAGGAGTGTTTATCGTAACTCAGTGGTCGGTTGGATAACGCTGGGTTCGACTGTTAGCAGGAACAACAAAATTCGCTTAGTGGCAGATACATCTAACTAATCAACCTCAAATAGGGCAAAATGACCATCCTGGACTCCATTGCTGACCAATATTTATCAGTAGTATCGAAATTGAGAATACTGGTAATACTGAGGCATCCACACAAGAGCCCATGTGTTAATAATTGCTGACCGGTTCGATCCAACCAACGACGGAGACATGCAAGCTGTAAAATCAGGATAACTGGCATCATTATTAATACATAATCAATCTCTTAACTTCTAATCAACCAATAGCCTGTTGTAATTTAGGTGCAATTCACTACCTGTCAACCAATTAGATTAAAAAACTATACAAAAGGTCAGTTAAACAGTTTTAGATTGAATAAATCACGAACAAATTGCAAAGCACCACTAAACTTGTGGTTTAACACTGATCCGAAAATGAAATCAACTTAAATTCTCAGGAATTTGTCTATTCAGATGATTTTCACTCTGAGAAATGAAGTTATTCGAACTATGACGCTGATCTATTCAATAGCAAAAAGACATTGAATACCAACTTGAAAAAAAGTATGCCAATGTTTCCTCTCTACTTATAACATTCATGTTTTGCTGCGTTTTGAGATTATGAGAAATAATGAATGATGGTTCTTCGAAAATATTTGGAAAAGACTGTCTTTAATCAGAAGAGTATAAGTGTTTTCCATCTACACATGAATTCTATATTATGTGTAAGCAAATAATCTATAAATAACTATTACCATAATACTACTGTCAGTAGCAGTAGTAGTAGTAATAATAATGGTAGTAGTAATGTCATAGGTTTACACTCAGATAATTTAAATTTACCGTTGGTCCTGTAGTTTTTTATATTGTTTCCGCATCAAATAACCACGAATTTCGGCTTGGAATAGACTAATTATACCATTCAATTTCTCATCGCGCATATCTTCTAAACTAGCAAGCGTACCAGCTTTGAAGAACACTTTTGTATTGCCGCATTGATAAAGACTTTTATCTAATTGTGTAGCTTCTAATAATTTCTCAGTAACTTGACGACCATCAACAAATCCATCAGGTATAACATTCGGGGCCAAAATTGAATAGCTTTACACAAATTGAAAGTTAAAAATTAATAGAGAAAAATGAAGTAAAAACTTGACTATTTAATAATGTTAAAACAATACACCATTGCACAAAACTGATGGTATTAATCAACTGATTTAACAAACATAAAATTTCTATAGTCACTTAATTTACAATAATAGACTTCTAGTATACACAAAAGATACTGAATGTCTTGTTCATCAATATGAATGAGCATATTTGACTTAATTTTAAAATCAACTGAATCCAGACTCCTCTTTCGAAATTATTCTTGATTTAAAAATTACTCTGAAGAATATAGTTAGTTCACTTACATTAGACTTCTTTAGTTTAGGCACTTAAATTAGTACTCTCAAATTCGTCAGTGTGTCATTATGTCAAAAAGAAATGTAAAAACAGCTAGTATTAGCCGAGTAATGTTGTTAATTTTTTTGTGAGTCATAGAGATACCTGTTTTTCTGCCACTGGTTTAGTGCAGGATGCATCAACGCAACCATTTTCATCCACAAGTCATAAACTCTGAAGATAAATGGTACCGTTAGACTAAATGTTTTAATCATGAGACACATTTAAGTGTGTATTGTTGTGCATCACTCGTTAAATGAAGATTATGATTATTATGTTATCGAAAGAGTCAAAGCATTTGACGTCCACTGTCCACTGACTATTAACCACAAAGGGAGAAAAATTTTAAAGTAGATTAAAGTTAGAAGGAACATGTAACAACTTAATCAGGATATACCATTAACGACTGAAGTTATCTATGGATGGTAAGGATTGCTAAGAAGTCATTTTTCTTTCTAAAAAAGCTTTACAGAAGTGGATATTTATTTCAGTAAACAATAACCAAGTCAGTGAGAATAGAATAATTAAGCAAAGAGTAAGTGAATGTTCAGAATCTTGAAAAAAGATGGCCGAGTGGGAGGTGGGAGTTCGTTAACTTTACTGTAAAGGATTTTTACCCACCTATTCCACGGCTTTCAATAAACGATCTTTAGCATCTCGGAAAACACAACGAGTCATCCTAAATCTATGTACATGTCTGGGAGTAAATGCTGATGATTTTATGGAGTGATATTAAATCACAGAAAAATACTTGTTTGCTTTCCTTCAAATCAGTCCTACTATAGCTATCACTGCATGATAAGGCAGTTGGTAGTAAGGTGACATACATAACGCATCTTAGCCACCTGAATCTGTTTAATTTTATTACTCAAAATCACTTGTTTAATTTAAATGTTTTAAGTCATTTTTAATCAGCTATTATTATTATTTGTGCTTCAGTAGCACGTCGCCATTTCACTCTCTTCTCTGCAATCTTTTTAACATGGCTCCAAAACTGCCAAGAAGCTTTCATTTCTTCCTCACACGATCTCCTCTATGTCACCCTCAGACGCTCAACTCGTCGTTTCCCCTTTATGTTCCACCTGAGGGCCTGGCACGTGATGTCCCCGAATGGTCTTCTCGGTGTATGTTCAGTCCAATCCATCTCCACTTTATTCAGCCAGTTAGGCAGTTAAGTAATCACAGTAGACTTCTGGAGATTTTAACTGACAACCTACATGACAAAAGTTGATTTCTTGAAAAGTAATGAGGCATATGTTCAATTTACCTATCCGTTTGATTTTGACGAATGAATACAAAACACTAAATTACTGTAAATGATGAATCATTCAAATTGCATATAAACAAAGAGAAAACGCAATGCAAATTATATACTAACCGTTGTTTGAATTCAGAATAGATCATACGATTAGGGAAGCCTTTACGACAGATACGAATGCCTTCAAGTACACCGTTACAATGTAACTGATGAAGAACCAAGTGAGCATCAATAACACCTGAAATCATTTTCAAAAATCCACAGGGATGTATAATTTACAAATATAATTAAATTAGACCTAAAAGTCCATTCAAATCAATATTTTCCGACAGTCAAAATTCAACCAGTAACCTAACATCAGAAAGGGTGTTTCTCCCAAATGAATTCAGCAAAGATATCACTCAATATAGCTGATCAATTATTAACGTCATACCTACATCATGTAGTCTGTTCTTTTGAGCAATATCTATACAACAATGAGGAATTGGCTGTGATATCTTATCAGGCCTATAAAAAGTGATTGTTATCAGTAGGTTTGCATACAAAGAAAGCAGAGTTTAGATTTTCTATCTTTCACATCTAAAGGGTTCGTTGGTGTTAAAAAAATGTTATTGTAGTTGTGGATTACCCAGGGGTTTTTCAGTAGTTGTCAAATATTTGTGGGAACCTCTCTCGTTAAATGTATGACATTAATAAATAATTCAGAAACTCATTAGTCTATAAGGTAACTACAACTCACCCGGTTGTTTAAATTCATTCGGGACAATACAACGAATAAATGATGGACTGGTACTTTGTAGATTTTTCATCAGTTTGTTCAATGATTCCTGTTCATATCATTGTGATCATCATTCAGAAGTAAATAAATACAAAATACGATGATGAAATACTCAAATCAAGTTATTTAAAGACAAAAAATGATAATCACTACGAATAAAATATTTTGATATAGCATTCTTCAGTTTCATGAAAAGTGTATACCTCATAGTATCATGCTGCTATATGTAATGTAAATGCATACATACAGGCCCATGCTATTATGAGGGAAAAGTAATGAACATGCCATTTAAAAATAGGGATTTTTATTTTATTATGTCTAACAAAATATCCCACTAAATAAAAATGCAACTGATAATCATATAGTGTTCTCTAAACTTGTGCCCTATTTGTTTTGTCATCTGAAGTGAAAAGGATGTTTTATGTGTTCTCAGGCGTTGTCTTCCCCAACAGACAATGCTGGACATAGTGCAATTAGGTTGAGTGAAAGTTACAAATGTTCACACTGAAACATAGTATCACTCTAAAAAGTATTAACTTGTTGATCCCAGCAGTATACTACAATATACACTTTCCGATTTTGGTTCACCAGTTAACAGAAGAAATAATTGGAAACTGTAAGTGATGTTGTTGAGAGGTGACCACAGTGGTACAGATGGATCCACAGGTCATTTGATCTACACAATAATGTACTATATTTTACTCTCTTTATTTTATTTTCGATGTGTAATGAAATTTCAAAGCTCTTAACTTTGTTAGTTTTGTCTCACTGAATTTTTCTTGAGTGTGAGTGCCAAATTGGACCGCTGTGGGATAATGTCAAGTCCTATATCGGATACTTTTTTATTAAGCATAGACATCTGCAAAACTTCATAGAATCTAGATCCGAATGGTTGTCTAGAAAAGCTCAAACAATCGTCAACAATTAATATTGGCATCATGAAATAAGTTTTACTTATCCAAAATTATGAAGAGCCAATCACTCTCATTTTTGGCTAATTCAATCATAGCGTCACCACATCAATAATGTAGAAGTCAAGTGTAGAGGGAGAAGTCATTTGATGAGGTTATGAACCTTTATCGACGCATGCTTAGTCACTGTTTATTCACAGCACAATCTTAACTGAAGCAAGTTTAGTCTAGAAAAACGTCAGGGGCGGCCAGACTAAGACATGTCATCCTTGTATGAAATATTTGACCATTCGTCTGATCCCTGTGAGATGTCGACTTCTAAGTTAAGGTCAAATAACAACAGAAACGAGTATTTGGGGACTGTGGGTGACATAGTTCAGTTGATGTCGATGGCGCTTATGTATCCACACATTGCCCTCATCTTAATTGTCATTCTGAATTTCGTATTTTCTAATTTTACTTCTCTTCAGTAAATTTCTACCAATTTTAATTGATTCTTCTTGATTTCTTTATCTTTCACCTCACTGCTTTGTTGCTTTATTTGCTGATATAAAATGTGGCAATCCGAACCGCTGTGCTGTAATACCTAGCTCTGTCTTGTTGATGATAATTAACATTCTCTTTGGATGCTAGTGAAACGGTTGTGAAGTAAGCCAGTTTCAATGCCAATTTGTTATAAAATTGAAAATCAAGGTACACACAAATTAACCTATTTGTTGGGTTTTCAAACACAATCTGATGAATAGTGAGAAATATTCCGCGATGAAAATAATCCATTCCATTTGAACTTACTACTTACTGGTAGTAATAGTGTGTTTTATCTTCCTCATTATTAGATAGTTTAAAATTGCACCACGTTCATAGTTGACTGCTTTTTCATTTTTGCTATACTAATTTTGTTTTCCTTTGGAAGGCTGCTTAATTTTGACAGCATAAGCTATTGTTTTGTTTGTCTAGATTCTGTACTACGACCATCAGTTGATTTAGAAAATAAAGTATGATTCCATCTTTCTGTAAGAAATTAGACTGACTAACTCGTTCAGCTGAATGAGGTGAACCAACGCAGGTACACTGCTGATAAGCTGGGCTTCGTAAACGACTGTCCGGAGTTTAGATAGCCTTGATATGACTGAGAAACACTTCTAATTCGTATGAGTCATCAAGAAATACTCATGCCAGTCGATAGTTTACTTTGTAGAGCTTTAGAAACATAACTAACCATTGCCTTTCAACTTATAGAGATCAATGACAAGGTGACAGTCGACAACTACTGAATTTTCTAAAGAGAACGATTCAGTAAGACAAAAGATATGCAAATTCTACTGTGTTCACATAGTATATTAGTCTAACGACTTTTGTCAAAAGATGCACTACTGAAACACATTCATTTATACAAATCCAAACACATCTACTCTCTATTAAACACACACACGCACACACAAAGATAGACGTGAACATACATGGATGCAACATATGGGATTTACTACTTTTGTTGTATTTTGACATGGTATAATGCTATATTGCGTGCGGGGTTAGGATGTTTGTATGACAATCGATTAATTCACTACAAATTTAGGGCAGTCAACTACAAGTGACTAAATTGCTAAGGACTACAAAGAAAAGTATACTCTGTGAACAGCAGAAATTGTCTGCATAGCACCGCCTTTTTTACGCTTTCCACCTTCGTCTATTAGATTTGACACAGAATAAATTGAGTAAATTATATTAAATGAACAGATTTTATGTGGTTTTCGCAAAACATAAATAAGTATACCGATTAAAATAGCAAATGAAACAGCCTTAGTAAAAAACGAAAGCACATCGAAATGCTTTGGAAGCTATAATCAAGATTTTGAATAAGCAAATTTCCAAAAACTTTTTATATGATAGAAAATATATACTCTCTGACTTATCACCGTACTGATCAGATTTTAGTCGCCTTTGTTACTTAAGTGTATACCGTTTCCGGATTACTGTAGTAAATGTTAAATGAAGTAAAATGTGTAGGGTAAAGATGACATAAAAGCTGGGGGGCAAAATTGTTCAGCGTTCTTTAAGGACAAGGCTCTTACACAAAATAGCAGCATATCGACCTTTATTTCACAAATTCCCTAGCATGCTTAAGCATTTGAACCAAATGAAGATACATACATTAGTTTTAACATGTTGCTTTCATTACTTTATGCTCACAATATGTATTGTTCCCAAGATTTGTAAACCAATCGAAATTAATCGACTGGTCGTCTGTCAAATCTTTAGGAGTTACAATACACCAGAAAAATAAAGTTTTTCAAATAAAAGCAAATAATTGCGGGAGCCATATGCATATGCATGATATTTTCGCATATAACGATATTTATTCAAATTAGCATTATTTTTTACACCTTCAGCAAGCAGATGAATTAGTCAGAAAAATGTGTACAATATAGCAGTAGTTAACGAGATGCGCAATAACAAGTCTTTTCATCTTTTACAAAATTACCCTGTGCATGTAGGACACTGTCAAGAAAGAGCCACCTTTCGTCTTTTTACCCGGTTCACCTATATACATTTATTCGATGAAGATTTCAATAATGAAATATATATTTTAGTTTTAAAATGATCAGTGAAAAATTAAATGTTACTTCGTTTGTTTGTCTATTAGCACCTCTAAAGATATCCCTAAGCATTAGTTCAAATAAGCAAACTGTTGAGATTCAATGTTTCAATATGACTTCAAAATGGATACAAACGAAAGTGTGGATTAATATTGATTTTTCATCAAATTTAGTTCTTTTACTGTATAATTCTTAGCTGTCAATACAACCACTGTTTCATGGTGAAAGAAATCTCTTGAACTTAAGTAAAGCCACGCAAAGTTAACCATTGTGCTTCATTACACTGCACATATATATCAACTATTTGATGACGTTATTTCTTCTAAAAAGCAACAAGATGCTTGAGCAACTATGCTTCGCGGATTTTCATATCTCAAGTCTGGCCAAATACCATTCATGTAAAGTGACGCTTCTGTCATTCCATAACGTTTATATGTGTTGACTATTAGGCTTTCAAAATCAGGTTGGAAGCCATCAAAGAAGCTGGTTATGATAGACCGCAGTTCAAATTCAACACCCATCCTCAACAGAAACTGAATGACGAAACTTCAAAGGATATCTTCACATCAGCCATCAGAACAAAATGGGAGACTCTGAACAACATCCCTGAAGGATCGGGCGTGGAAGAACACTGGAACTCTTTGAAAGAGATGTGAAAAGAAAGCTGCACAACCGTAGTAGGAAGGAAGAAGAAAGAAAATTAGGAATGGATCTCGTCGGACACATGGGAGCTGATAGAGGATGGAGAGGAAGATGTTGATGGTGAAGCAGAAGATAAACCAGTGCAGTGCTGTGCAGGGATGAACAAAGAAAAGAAGAACTTAGTACAACGTATAAAACACTGGTCAAGGAAGTGAAGAAGAGTGCACAGTAAGACAAAAGACACTTCTACGACACACTTGCAAGTGAGGCAGAACAGGCTGCTGCAGGTAGGAGAGACAGAGACCTGATAACACTATATCAGATAACCAGGTTACTATGTGGGAAGAGATCAACTCAGACGAAACCAATGAAGAATAATGAAGGAAATCTAGTTAATTAACCAAAGAGGAGAAACAGGGGAAATATTGAGACGACCACTTCAAAAACTCTTGAGTCGACCACCTCCACCTGCAACTCGGCCAGAAATACCAGCAGTAGCCAGCCACGGGACTACCAGTGAACGCAAGTCCTCCGACAAAAGCAGAAGTCTTGAATACCATAAGGCTGCTGAAATCCGGTAAAGCAGCAGGACCAGATGGAATTCCTCGCAAAGTACTGAAAATAGATGCAGAGACAAGAGCGGACACGCTCACACCACTGTTGCAGAAGGTTTGGAAGGAAGAAAGGAAAGGTACCTGCCGACTGATTGGAAAAAGGACTACCTCGTCGAACTCCCAAAGGAGGGTGACCTTAGTCTTTGCAAGAACTGGCGCGGAATAATGCTGCTGTCCACCTCAAGCAAAATATTATGCCTCATTATTCTGGAGAGACCAAACAATGTGCTGGATTCAAAATTACCGCCCGGAACAGGCTGACTGGCTTTATGAAGAACAAACCATGTGGAGATGAAATTGTAAAGCAATCAACTCAACTCTACATCAGCTTCTTCAATTTTGCAAAAACCTTCGACAGCGTCTACCGAGAAGTGATTTGGTAGCTGCTTAAACATTAAAGTTTTAGCGCCACAAAACTTTGTTAACCTCATTCAACAGCTATACGACGACGCCACATGCCGAGTGATTCACAGTGGAAAGCTCAGTGACGCCTTTGAAGTGAAGACAGAAGTAAGACAAAGTTGCTGCCTACTACCATTTTCCGGATTGTATTCCATTGGGTCAGGTAGCAAACCGTGAAGAGTGAAAAGATGGGCATATTCCGACTGGGTCGATGAAAAGACCCCAGAAGAAGATTTGGATTTAGCAGATTGTGATTTATGTCTAATATCGGTTATTCCGTTCATCAAAGGTTAGGCGTTTCGGAATAAGTAAACTTTTCCTCCATGCACTCATCTAACTTTCAGTAACCTTAAAAGTCAGGTTGTAAACTACACTAAAACGTTTCTAACCTCTGAATATAACTTTTTATAAATAAATTCTGCATATCAGTCTAGATAACATTTTACTGTCATATTTGATAAATAACTACATATGAGAGTAAGAAAAGGCTGCCGCCTAGTACCACCGATGGTCTTCCTGATTGTGGTGGACTGGATCATACAACAAACTGTGAGGAGCGAGAAGAGGAGCATATGCTGAATGGACCGATGAAAAGACTACAGAAGAAGATTTGGATTTCACCGCTGATGATTTATGTCTAATGTCGCGCAACCTCGATGATCTACAAGCAAAAACCAACACCATGACAGAAGAGGCAGAGAAGACGGGACTTCAAGTGAACGTAGAGAAGACAGAGGTGGTGAAGTTACCCAACCAACAACAACATCAGCAGCAACAACACCAACGGGCACCGGTCACCATTAACGGGTGAAGCCTAAAGGAAGTAGTCTGTTTCACCTACTTAGGTAGCATCGTTTCAAATACAGGTGGCGCATATGAGGACAGCAAAGCCAGTTCAGGAAAGCAAGACAGGCGTTTCTGCATTAATCTGAAAGCAGTGTGGAGATCTACTGCACTGCACTAAGCATAAAGAACAGCATCCAGATTTCCAACACTAATGTCAGTCGAGTCAGTGCTTCTATATGGTTGAGAGATTTGGAGCGTCACAAAAAGCACTTCCAACAAACTACAGGCATACATCAACAGCTACCTATGCTGGATACTGAGGATTAGATGACTAGAACATTGAGAATAAGCAATAAGCAACTCTGGGAACGGGCCAACCAAAAACCTATCGCCCAACAAATATGCAGAAGAAAGTGGAGATGGATTGAGCATACACTGGGAAGACGATTCGGAGACATCACGTGCCAGGCCTTCGAGTGGAATCCAAAGGGGAAACGACGAGTTGGACGTCCAAGGATGACACAGAGGAGATCATGTGAGGAAGAAATGAGAACTGGGCAGTGGTGTAGCCAGGTTGAAAAGATTGCAGAGAGCAGAGTGCAATGGAGGCGTACTACTGAAGCCTTATGTTCCACTAGGAACCCTAGAGACAAATAGTAATAATAAATTAAGCCAGGATAGCTGCCTATACACTTTACACCATCTGATGAGTTTCACCAGATGTACAGAGATGATTAGAATGCGGACTGTCCTTACCTCTTATTTCTGGAAACAGTATCGAAATGCTTGATTATGATCACATATGCTATTAGAGGTTGACGATAAACACTTATCAAATTAAATATGTCATTGAAAACGGAAGTGACCCATAATAGACAGGATGGAAATTCAACTTCCGTCTTCTCAATTCGATCTGCTTGTATTAGCGACAAGAAACTCAAAGATATGTATGTGTCGTTATGTAACTTGTATACCGAAGGAATCATAAGTTGGCACTTAATTGTTTCTGACATTTCAAATAAGTTTACTTTGAGATGTAACAGTAATGCATAATTAACAACACAATATATCAAGTAGTTCAAGCGCTTCTAGTTTGTAGTTTACTGTTACCATCTTTAAAAATAGCAATTCCTTACTATGACAAACTTCAAAATAATACAAGCAACGTCAACAAAATTATACCCATCACACAGGAAGTGGCTGTCATGACTCAATGGCCTGTTGGATAACTCTTTGATGTTTGAAATGATCTGCCCAAGGTTCAAGTCCTAGTGGGAACAACATCACTTACTGTGAGACAGGTACATCCAACTGACTTGTGTGCTTTACGATGAAATGCGCAGCCTGGATTCCAATGCTAGCCACTGTTCATCATTACCATAACATTGATATAACTAACTGAAACATGGTGTTACCATTTATATATCTGTTCACTTTTTATTTGTACATGTGATTTTCGGTTATATTGCAACATATATTACTTACCGACAACTGGAGTAAATAAGTTAGACACTAAACTATCTTTGCTGCCACCCAAAAGTCCAACTACGCTGTCATTAAGTGGATCTTTGTTCTTTTCCAGCCAGCCTGTTATAGTATATGGCACCTAAAAAAGGAGAGAAAATAACCTCTTATCACATGTTCAGCGATAATACTATTACATAGAACTGATATATAAATTAATTATTTGATTATATCTATACTACCAGAGAAATTTGCATTTTCAGAGATGAACATTGAATTGAAATATACATTAAGTAAAAAACCCGCCCCACTGTTGTACATGTGAACATTAACGAAAGAACATGACTACGAAGGTACGGTAAGACCTGAAACTGACTGCTACCAGTCACCATTAAGTACTTCGAGACAAAAGTTTACGGTAGTATTGGAGCATCAACATAGGGTCTACATGACACAAGAGATCAGCGAATTGGGTGAGTTAATCACAACAAAAGGATCAGGATACCGAAAGAGAAACTGGTGAAGAAAAATACGGTGTACTGAACAAGAAGTTTATTTCACCTAGGTCATGAAAGTGGCAATAACAGACTGTATAAAGTCACAGTAAATCTATGTATTGCTCAGATAAATCTTAACTATTACTTACTTGACGTAAACATACATATTTAAGACTTAAGAATAACAGTAAAGAACCTATAAAAAAGCCAAGCTTAATATTCTGTTGTTGATAGCTACAGTTACTAGATATACATATAGCCCGAATAGTTCAATTGTGAGGCTACTGACTGCAACTCTGGATGAAGTGTGTTCGAATCTCAGGGGAGGCTTCACTTCCTTTGAGGTCATTGATATGCCTTGGTGATGAGTGTTAACGAGCAGAAAACCAACTACCAACCAAATAACAATTACCAGATATATATTTAACTTTTTGATGAATTAGCTAATTTACATCACCGTAATAAGAAGTAAGAGAGAATTGGAACGATTTCACTTGCAAACCTTACACAGTCTTGTTACAAGTACTGTTACTATTGGTCTGTAAATGTGGCTGTTAAAGTGGTTAGCCAAATAGGTTATAAAGAAAACTTGATCGTATATGTTCGTTAAGGTGACACATAAAGTAAAAGGGATAGAAAAAGAAATTACGAATAAAACAACCTACGCTATTCATCAGAAATTTCTGTACAATAATAATTGCATTTATGAAGGAAAAAATTATGTTAAATAAAATACACTTACAGATCCAGCATAATGATGCAATTCAAAGTGAGCTTCTGGATGACCAGGTTTCGGAGGTTTAGGTTTAGTGAAATTGGGACTTTTGCCTAAGTGATTGTCATATAATTTCGATAAGAAAGTTTGATCACTAGCTTTGGGGACGATGCATTCTTCTTCCAGAATGGATAAAATACCCATAGGCTGAAAATCAATAAAATATTAGAATTGGAGTTAAACAAAAGATATTTTTCACCTTGTTTGAAGAGGAAACATGACAATGAGGCACATAAATATGCCAAGATGTCAGAAAATTGCAACAATTTCTGAATGATGGTGACGTATGTTAACTTCAAATGATGTACATAAACCTGTGCTTTAGTTGTGCTGTGCATTAGTAGGTTAAATCAAATATTTTATGATTGAACTAAGTATGAATATTTATTTTATCAATTATTGGCGAACTGTACTGTCCGGGATTGAAAAACAGCACACGAGTAGTAAAACATAACAAGTAAACATACTGCCATTATATATATGGCCGGGATAAGGTTTAAGTTTCAAAAACAAAACTGGCTCTCTTCTGAATGGGTTTTTCGCCAACTCACTTGAACAGACCATTTCACAAGACAGTCAAGCAGCCTCAACACCTACCTGGCAGTTAATATTCATCACATTCTTATATGTGCTATCTGAGGTTGTTTTTTGAATTCATTATGTACTGATATCATTTGGAGAAACATTGGAAAGCTAGGGGCATTGGACATCTGTTTCGTCCCGGTGTGGGACTCCTCAAGCGGTCTTATCCATGACCCGGCCAGGGGTCGGACCCAGAACTTCCAGGCCCCACAGCCAACACGTTACCACTGAGGTACTGGGTTGGAATCCAGTGGCCCATGTTTCCCACTTTGATCAGTTTGCTATATAATGCGACCTCCATTCGATGCCGTCGTCGAGTTTCTGTCCTCATATTTGACTTGGCAGCCCAAAACGGTCGTGACTTCTCACCAGAATTTCTGGAATCACCTCTCTAAATGAGTAGCCAATAAGGACTAGAATTATTCAGTTTGCAGGTTTGTAAGGATTTATTTATTGGTTTTAGGTTTTAGGTATAACACGAATATGTGACTTTAGCAGGCACCCTAGCGACTACTGAAATAACCAGTAAGGTTTACTGATTTCACCTAGAAACCTGATATTTTGTAAGATAAATAAACCTAATTTGTTATCTCATTTACAAGGACAGCTTTTGTAGTTACTATGCCTACACATACTTACGTATGCATAGTGATCCATATACTAGCTTACGAGTTATGCGTGATACACTAATGTCAATGATGAAACCTTACTGTTCAAATCTAGATAGTCGAAGAGATATCAGAACCATGGTTCTGTTAATGGAAAGTTAAATGATTGAAGCACTCAACCAAAGCGACATATATGTAGATCACTTCACCGTATACATTAAAATAATATTCTTACCTTTTCAATTAAATCTATACAAGCTTGTAAATCCATACCGAAGTCAATGAATGTCCATTGAATTTTTTCACGTTTGTATTCTTCTTGTTCCAAGACGAACATATGATGATTAAAGAATTGTTGTAAACGTTCATTAGTATAATTAATACAGATTTGTTCAAAACCATTTTCCTTGAAAAAAAGAAAGAGAAAAATTTCTAATTGGACTTATATTTTATGGAGTTAATCACAGTGACTGATACTTTCAATAGTAATTTACTACGAATTTGATTTCACTCAAAATCAACTAAGCATTTAGAATAAAACATATATGAAAACGTGTTGTTGAGGCATATCTATTGTTTATCAACTATACATCAGGCTAAAAGTAAATACCGATTGAATAAGTGATAAAATTGGACATGTCAATAATTTCTTTATTACATGCATATACAGTAACGGTATTACATGCTAACACTTACTGAATTCCGAAAGTGGATTTACGAAATGTCAAAAATTTAGGCTGTGAACGTTTCCTTTGCATATACAAAAAAGATTTTGGAGAAATTTACTTTCATCTTACTCAAGAGTTCTTTTTAAGTCTTTTAATTATTTTAAATTATAGCCTCCAATGTGATTACAGTTATCTTGAATGACAGACCGATGATATGGATATGATATTGAATTTATACAATTTCAAGATGATGCCTGAAACGTTTAAATTACTCAGAGGTCATTTCAATCTTAGAATCTCAGTATTATGCTTTCTTTACAAATCAATACAGTTGATTAATACTTTTAGGAGGCCATTTACCAAACCGACAATAAAATAATCTGCAAGTGAGAGGCGAATTGCGAATCCACTAAACAGCCTTGTGTACATCCATGCACATGGCAGTGATCTAAACCTAATGTGTAGGAGCTGGTCTATACTACCTGATGGCTTAAACTTTATTAGGTGGAGTGATGTTCGATGTTGGAACTCACTGGTCCGCTCCCTGAAGCAATGAGCCACAACCCCATATGGACAAAGGTTTCAACGATATCATCTTTGTAAATTATATCACGTGCATCTTATTAGAAGTATTAGGTAGTGCATTTAATGTGTAATATCCACTTATTGAGTTAATTGCCTGAATCATAAGATATGCCTACAAAGTTAACTATTAACAAAAACCAATAAGTTAATCTACATATAATCTTTACTGTCCCTATAAACTGATTTGATGTGATTAGTTATCATGAAAAAACAACACGTATGGAATATACTTTTCCAAGATAAATAAAAAAAGAGAACTCACAGTGAAAATTTCGAAACCAGCAATATCTAGCACACCAATGAAAAACTGACGTTTCACTTTTGTATCCAAAGTTTTGTTTACACGAGCGACTAACCAACCGAATAAACGATTATAAAGTGATTTAGCCAAAGCACTGACTGCATATGTGACCTTTTCGAAAGAATTGAAAATAAATCATCATTATGATGGTAATGACTAAGAACATTGGCAGTACGAATACTGATAAAAAAATATCTGAAATTATCTAAATATTCATGAAAAAATTGATGGTTTCAACAAAAGACGATATTTATAATGAGCTATAATCAAAAGGTTTGCTACTTTTCAGAGAAGGTTATATCTAATAGATAAACAAAAACAGCGATGTGTTGATTACACTTAAAGAAGGTCATAATCCTCTTGTACGTTTAACTGGAAGTTGTCTCTTTTACTATCATAGGAGCAGATTTTATGAAAATACTGTTTAGTTATCCTAGTAGATTTCAGCAAGTATTTAGGAAGAGAAAAATAATCTTACTTACTACCTGATAGTTTTTTAGTCATTAATCCTCAGCATTTTCAAGTATTTCAAGGCTTATGATGACGTTTTTTAAAGATTTTACTCGAATTGATTCGTTTTTCTCTAACTTAATGATCATTTCACAAGTGGATGGATGGCATAAATAAGATATTACAAATTTCAATCTCCATCATATCTCAAACTTCTTGAGATAATCCAAAAATGGGGTTCAAATGCTGTGTTAATCCGAAGAAAATAGAATAAATTGAAATTGAATCCCAGTTTGAACATCTATATGACCTCCTCCCTACTCTTAATACTACCTCGAGTGATGGTAAAAGTTGGTTTAAATCGACGATGGTTGATATCAGTTACCAGTTCTGAACTACAACTTCCAGTTATTTATGAATAAGGAAGACTTCACTAATAAGACGCACAGTATACTCTCTGATAAATAAACATCCGAAGTTGATGAGCGTAAATTTTCAAATTTTTTTATCGAAATGCAAATAGTGCAGCTTCTGAAACAGTTTGTAAAGTTAAAGCATATTGACGAGAATATTTTTAAAGGCATAAAACCAATTTGGTCACATATTCCGGCTATATGGGTGAGTCAAAATACTCAAGTAGAGCATACCTCTTCGACCTATTCTACCAATGATCAGTTCGCCTTACTACAAGGTAGCTCGATGGTTATGCACAGTGCTAAAACCCTTACGTAAACGCTTTGGAAAACCCATCGTTTCTGATAGATTTCAGTTCGTCCTAATGTTGGAAATTTAAATGATACTGATAAACCCCTTGTGAAAATTAATATTGTCTCTTGACTTGAAAATGTTCCAGTTATTGAAACTATTGAGTTTATAAGCGAAGAGATTGATGATACAACTATTCTAAAGGAAGAACTGCAGAAATTGTTACTACTGTGAGCTAAAAATATTCACTTCCATTTCAAGAGTTAGTCTATCATCAGGTCGATGGCATTGCAACAGGATACCAGTTGGGATCAGTTTTTGCTAATTTGTTTCTTTCAAATCTAAAGGTCAATAAGCTTTAGAAGTTGATAGAACTAACGGATTGTACCACCAATACATGGATTGTATTTTTATTTAAAGTAAAAGTAAAGTGGGAGCGAAAACCCTGCTGAAGAACTTTAACTCATGTCACGTACACCTCAACTTTTTAGACGTTTCCTTAATCAAACAAAACGATGGATCTCTGAAAGATACATCTATAGCAAGGCTTCATAGTCTAGGGAATGTCTCCACTTCGAGAGTTTCGTTTCTGTCCAAAACAAAAGGAACTTTATCGAAACTGTGTTTGGAGGACAAAGAAAACCTGCTCTGGCAGCACCACTGATTATGAAGTAAAAACAATGAGCCATATCTTAACTAAATATGGCTACCATGAAGGCTTTATCAATAATTACCGGAAGAGTAGACAATGCAAAACAATAGTTCTAATAACTCCAAGAAATTCAGTACTAATTAAATTGCCTCTTAAGTGAGACGATGTCTTCAAGGTATCTAAGCCGAGTCTGACAATGTCATCAAAAGAACTTGTTATGCACCTAACCTAGTACTTCTGAACACCACCAGGCGGTGATGAAGTAATCAGGAAAAGACATGGCTTTAGTCTGCGACACATCAAACTCTATATACTAATTCGAATGTACTTGTGGAAGCAAATACATAGGTAGCACGGAAAGGCGTCTGTCTACTGGTATGACTGGGCATTTATCTAAATAGTTGAGGCAAGCAGAATCAAAAACTCCACAGAGTTCCATTACAGAACACCTAATGGTTTATCGATATGACGTTGACAGCACTAAGGTCTTCTTGGTTGTCAGCAGGCAGCGACATAAAAAGATGCTTGGAATCCAAAAAGCGTGTGCTATTGGAGTTAATAAGCTGAGCCAATGTGTGCGGAAATAGAAGGTAGTCACCGTGAATCTACCACAGTAGAGGTGTCTAAATATTTTGAACTTATTTGTTTTGTGTCTTGTTTTTCCGTTTGATTTCTTTTTCTGCTTAGCATATTTGCCTCTTCACCGTCCTTATTCTGTTTCATCATCATTTCCTTTTGAAGTTCGCCTATTCATCGAACGACTTACCTCCGTTGTCAATATCATCATCATTATTATCCAACAAATATTCTAGCCTCCTTTTGTTTTACACCATTATCAAGCTTCTTAATTGATATTAATTTACCTTGTTCAAATGACATAGATTTAATTATTTTAATATTCATATTTTCCACGTGATTATTATCACTCGCTTGTATTGTTACTACTATAGTCAATATTTTTGTTTACCGAAAACCTGTGTTCTCCTAGTGGGAAATTTTATCAAGCCATCCAGTTGACTACTAACTTTTATGTTCGAGATGATGCAATCCATCCCTAGTTCTTTTATTTCTCATGATCATTTTGTTACTCCTTCCAACCTAGTCTTAATTCTATTTGATATAACAAAATTATTCACTCTGTGTTGGCAAGGTTCATTCAATGTCTTTGTATTGTACTTATGTATTCCTTCACTGCATAACAGTGTATAAAATCATGGATATAAAGTAGAAAGCTGAATAGTCGTACTGAAATTTATGAATTCAATAACTCATGCTTCACTTACGCTTGTGTGTTGTACACCCTTCCAGAGTCACGATGGCAGCATGACTTTTCAAAAACTAGTTAGTCAGGGCTGAAACGTATTTACGCCAACTATAAAGAATCTTATATAAGGATGAAGTCATTGTTTCGGTTCATGCTGATATCAGTTCATCATCAAATACTATATGTATATATTAGTGCAAATCACTTGAAAAAAAGAATTTTATCCTCATAATAACACTAACCTGGTTTAAATTCTGGCCTTTAGTTACAAATTCTGTGCCGACTTTGACTTTCGGTTTCAAGAATGAAGTTAGCAAATCTTTAGCGTTAACGCCCAGGAGAAAAGCGACCTTTTCAGCTTCAGCAGTTCCATCAGCTTCAGCCTGTTCTTCTCTAGGTCTTTGTTTAAATTTCATTTCACCCATATTACAGATCGATGTTGTGCATTTGTATAATGACAATTTTTCATCATCACCAAATCCTAGAATTTCAATGGCTTCCTAGATGAAGATTTAGTAAATATGTACATGAATGAGATTAAAAAATCCCCCTCTCTCTTCCCATATATATATAATATCAAAAACAATGTCAAGTAATATTCACGACTGAATTAGCCCACTTGCATAACAATTGTGTAATATATTTTAATTAAAACTTAGACTTACTCGGTTTGATCCCAGAGGAAGTAATATATATATATATATATATATATATATATATATATTCAAATAAGAACCTAAAGAACCTTGGCCAGCTAAGTTTAGTCAACAATAATAACTATCCGAGGATCAGCCAACCCATCTAGTCCATCCTTATAAGAGGTCAGTTGCAGTGTCAATAGTTGAGTTACTAACTGCAACACTAGGTGACCTGCACTTAGATCTCTCATGGAGTATAAATTCCCTCAGGACTTTGGCTAAACGTTACTGAAGAGTGCCAATAATCCCAACAACCAGTTCATAAGCCTCTAATGAACAAGCAAGTAAAACACTAATTGAATGGTCACGGAAGTGCAACTAGTTTCATGTTGTCTACTCTTGAGCGCAGACCGAATCCTATAGATCATACTTGCTGACTGTAACTGTGAGTGACGCAGGTTCTAAGCTCAGTTGGGGCACCAGTTCTGTCGAGGGTAGAAATACGCCTTGCTGAGGAGTTCCAACAAGCATAGGTCCAGGGCTTCCTGCTGACTTCTTCCAACCAACTAACAAGTAAAACAGTTGCTGAGTCTTCTCTGAATAATTACGGATTGATGCTTTAAATTATTTATTAATTATCGTAACACTATGTTAACAACCAAATCAAGAATCTAAATTAGTATCAAGCCAGGCAGTAATTATTTACATACATATACATGTTTTTATATGGATTAAGTATTCCGTTTAACTTACATCACACAGTCTCATTTCCTCACTATCATCGACACCGTCAATAGTTAATTCACCTTGATTGATGAAACTGTATAAAGCAGGATCTGCTTGTACTAACAATTTATCTGTAAAAAATGATAACAAATAAATCAGTATAAATGAAATTCTTATTTAAGCGGTTATATGACAATTTAGACACACTTGATTCACATCAAAAAATGGAACATACCATGATATTTTGAACCATAACTGGATAGTAATTGGTAGAAAATGTGGTAATTACGTTCTCCTTTCATTTGAGATACAACACGTGATTTTTCAAGTAAATCTTAAGAAAAAAATTAATTAGAAGTATCACTAGAAAATATTTTTAGGATTTACAATGTTCAATATCAGCTCCAGCAATTTTTCCAGTTGTTCCAAAGTGAATACGGATGAATTTTCCCTATTATTTAGAAAAGAAATAAATAAGATAAAGTAACTTACAAATCGAGATGAATTGTTATTTCTTGTTGTTTTAGCATTACCATATGCCTCTAGAACTGGATTGGCCTGTACAATTTGATCTTCAAGTGTTCCCTAGAAAAAAAGAATGAAAAAACGTCAGATATCTTATCGAAATTTTTTTTCTTCTGAAAATAGCAAATTAAATAAATGAGTGAAAAACACTATTCTACCAATACTAAACCAATTATCTACAGAACCAGTTCGTTTAACAATAGTCATATCATTTTCATGTAACACTACTTGAAATTACAAGAGCTTTTTGATAAGTAATGATGATCTCGATTTTATGACTATTCAATATAGCCTGTTTTATAGACAATTTTCCACAAAGTAGATTGAAAAAAAATGTTTCACTGGTGAATTAAATTATGCAGGCATTAGTAGAAATGTTTCTCATTCCCATTATGTTTGGAAATATCGCAATCCAAGTGAATATCAGATATGGCTGACAATGTGATCCAACAGAGTGAATATAAGCATGGCTTAGATTTTCTCTTAGCTTCACACATATCTGTAGATTATTGGTCGTAACAATAATTAGGTGAATAAAAAAATGAAAGTACGAAACGAACTCATCATAGAATGTAAGATTTATCTCTTACATAAAATGAAACGACAGTCTCTTTTCACAATCACTAGAAGGAATGACTGGTATCAATAAAGATATGGTATACCAATCCATCGTTATGGAAACAAAACAATAAGTTAATCTGATGGGACACAGAAACGAATATGATTGACTTTAGTATAACAAAAACTTATCGTACTAAACTATGTGAAGATTCAAAGTCAAGAATGCGATAAATGCATAAGTTTACATTGATTCTGAATAAATAACCTGTATATGAGATAATATGGTCATATGACAAGTGTGTTCAAACAACGTTTATCCAGACAGGTCTAACGACAGCTTTGTAAAGCCCCAAACAGTTGCTTCAAAAAATGGACTTAAGCCATTAGGTAAGTACATTTTAGTAGACGTTATATGAACTGGTTAACTGCTGTGTTTAAAATGCTAGGCATCCCCTGATGCAACACCAAGAGTATTAAGGAGGAAAATTGATAATCGTACGCTAGACACTGAACATCTTATACTTCATTGTTATGTTTCTTCTCCTCTCATACAATACTTGCCTTTTTTTCACTATAGTTTTACATTTTTCTATTTCTCTTTTGGTGCTGTTGCAGCGCGTAACATTCGTAAAAGCTGTTCTTTTTCGTGAGTTGTATTTCGCTTTATTCTTTTTTATATAAATCTCAAAGTGAAACAGTATTATTTACTGGTGACGTTTCCAGCAGGATTTATTACCCATAACCATATCACCTTGATAAGATAAGGGAATATTATTCTACCAAAGTGCCTACATTCTACTCATGTTAGTGAGTTGTATTCCATGTGAATCTGTTTACCGAAATATATATGAGTATGAAAAACTAACCTTTTTGGTACTCTCGTCATCCTCTTTCTTTGATGCAGCTGCAACAACAGCGAAATAAGAAATGACTTTCTTCGTGTTTTCTGTTTTACCAGCTCCACTTTCTCCACTGTTTGGAATGGATGAATAACGGTAACAGTAATGAACTTCAAGTGAATTTATAAGTTTGACGACATAATAAACAACTTTATTACATATATAGAAGTCATCAGTTAGGTGTACTTTGCTTACCTAACCGTATAAGTTCTACGTATTATACATAAATGCACTTTAACTATTCGAACCTGCTTTACTGAATAAAAAAGTACAAATGTACTCTATCTTTTTATTTCATTCAGCTAGATGACTTCAGTTATGTTTGTAATATGTATGGAGTAGACTAACTTTTGTAATCACTTCATGAGTTGAACCTATAGCATTTATTGTTTCAAATGGTGGGCAATAAGTTGCTTCTCTTCAGATAATAACTGTGACTTGAAATGCATAGTTAAAAAATGTTTGAAGCTTTCACCCGAAAATGAATGATAGCTTAGCTAAATCTCCTTTGATAATGAAGTGTATTATTTCTTGCTTGTATATCACAGAAATAAAAATAACCTTACAAAATAGTTCATTTCATGTTGGTACTTGTATAATTTTGTCGTTGATTGGACCGAATTGATCACATAGGCTCCTAAGCGGATGACTTGATATTGCCTATATGTTCAGTTTTGATTTTAATGATGGACAACGGCTAGTAGTGGAATCCAGGATTAGTTTCAATGGGGACAACATCACTCAGGGGAAGGTAGGAACATCCAGTAACGTGTCCCTGGTTGGACGAAATGCGCATCCTCGTTTCCACTGCTAGTTACTGTTCATCATTAAAATCATCTCATAATCAAAGTTAGTTGTTTTGTAGTAAATATGAGGAGGCTATATTCTTATCTTTACCTACCATATATTCGTACTCAACTTACAAAATAGATTTAAGACAAGGAACTGATAATTCTAATATTCTGCTAAATTTCTTAAGTACTGATTATTGTTGTAAGATGAAAACAGATGAAGTCTGTTTATCTACATTTCCACTTATGCCAACATAATCACAGAAATAAGTCAAATATAAAATTCTTCAAAAAAATAAGGTGACTGTAAAGTTTCATGAGATTCATCTGACTGCATTTCCTTGACGATTCATCATTAAACTCTGAGCGCACATTTATAACTAAAGTGAGACTAGCATCAACGAAACCTGGAAGTAGTTAGAATAATGTGCAGTCCTCATTGATAAACTCAACGCTTATTGATATGAACTGCATACGGAACTGTGAACTTTCTAGATAATTTCTTTGTTTACAACGACTGCCAGTGACCCAGAACATCAAATACTTATTTTACTTTACAACTGTACAAATCTGATTATTTACCTCCTTTTGTTGAACAATATGTACATATTCATTCAGGTCTGGTAGATACGAGTTTATTAAGCAGATTCTTCTTAATGTTTCTGCTTTTGAAACTTTAAAAGTGATCTTATAATGGAATGTATCGGCAAACCAACCACCATAAAACAACGGTTAGTTGTCCTAAAGAAGTTAGTGACGACAAACCTTTACAGATTTATGAGTAGACCTACAGTGTATTCAGATATAAGTTGATTAAAGCTTCAATATACATAAACCAAAATTAAGCGATACGAACTATTCAACAGATATTTCAATGGCTACCACGATAAGCAGTTGATTGTAAAAGAATAAGAATATTGAAAGCTGGCAAAAAACATCTCGAAAGTATCGAACTTACGTAATCAAGATAGATTGATTTTCACGATCTGTTAGTACAAAACAAGAAAAAAAGGATAAGATATAGTCTTGGGAATAACCTATAGGAAAGAAAAGTCTTATAAAAAACAAAAAGTTGTAACTCATTACTACCATTAAAAATAATCCACTAAGTTGCAAATGAAAACATTTTAGGTATAAGCTTCCTACTTACAAATTTATACAGTAGTCGAATAAATTAAACAAAATAACCAACCTTGTAACATATTGTGATATGCATTGTCAGAAATTGAAAAGATATGCGGTGGCATTTCACCCCTTCTCTTTCCTTTATACTTCAATGCAACTTCCTGAGTATAAATTGGGAAGCGTTTGTAAGGATTGACTGCTACACAAAACAATCCTGAATAAGTCTAAAATTCAAAGGAGTAAAAAGGGATTGAATTCAATGTCTAATAAAATAAATAATGATATGCGTTGTCAAACATTCAATGTTTAAGATAATATTATATTCATATCTAAATTAACTTTATTCATATAAGTTCTGCTGACGTTGGACTGGTCATGATAATATTTATCTTAGTGATTAGATCAGGAGTCCGGGACTCATGTTTCGTCCTATTTGCAACTCGTCAGCTGGATGCATCAGTATCTCGGCTAGTGATGTTATTCCCACTGACGTCTTACAGAGGTCGAGAGATTCGGCCTTGTATGGTAACAGGAAATTATGTGTGTGATAACAAAGGGCGTGATAACGATTACTTTGTAAAAATACACACGTTATCTAGTGTTTATCAATTTATAAGGGTGTTAGACATTGTTAACTTCTCTCTTTAACGCATTATCAAATAAAAAATTCCAGTACAACCGACTACAATAATTTAATGTCGTTATCACCAATTAAATAGACCATCTCAACCTTAACTGAAGGTAATTTCTAAAGATGCATCCACACCATATCTTTTGCAAACTGCTTTGCAGATCTGAAATATGGAAAATCATTCTGCTCTTCTAGGGAAAAAATCATTATCGGTGCTATTTAGTATAACTAAGAACAGATTATTAAAATTTTACCAGCTATTTCCTCAACAACGATATGCTTAGAATTAGGCTTTTTGGAGAGTAATAAAAATAGCGCATTCTTCATTTTACCCCTGGCTTCTTATATTCAAGTCAAAAACCATGTTCACATTTTTGCATAAGGAAGTGATATATCAATAGGAAATGGAAATAAAAACCAAGATATATCACTTCATTAATTGTTGTGGTGTTGATGTTGTCTATAAAAGGCGCAATTGTTTGACTATGTACAGCTGTTTTGATCATCAAAAATGTAATTGCGCAAAATTAGGAGGTTGAAATAAACGTGATTGGTAATGTCTTCATGAATTCATCAGTATATTATGTACTAGAGCTTTGTGTGAGCTCTAATCTATCAAAATGAAGTAATATCAGCATTCGTTTGATAAAAACTTCATAAATGAAATAACTTACATAAATCAACTGTCTGTAATAACGAGCACGCAAATTTTCTAACACAGAAGCATCATTCAAATGAGTTAAATTAGCCATGTCTTCAATCAAGAAGAATTTCGGTGGATTAACCTGTTGAGCATCATCTTTTTTCACTTTCCTTTCCTGTAATATAATCAATAGAAAAGAAAAATGATAATACATGTGATAAATCATGTTGTTTTTGGTAAGATTTTCAATACATAAAAGTGTCGAATGGTACCTAACGAGAAACGTATGTACTTTTGGGATGAAAGAATATTTTGTCGACTATGGTGTTCTTGAAAAGGTATTTACCTATTCTGTGACATTTTGTGCATTATGTCTACAGGTAACAAACATTTTTTCCCCAACAAAGATATCAGTATGTTAGGCATCGATAAACGTGGTGTTTATCTTTAAAGTTAACTAAGGATGTTTCAATCGATTTGAGGGATATTTGTCAGACACACTTAGGCAATGTGGTCATTGATAGTGGAGTAACACCACCTAAGTTGAATGTTCACTAACAGTTGTATTCAACCTCTTGGCTATACGAATAAATCACTATACTATTTTTAACTTAATCTCACTTCTATTCACTACAACAAGAAGTATTTAGTAAAGTCTTAAGACAACGTTTTACCCAACATACATTGTGCACAAGATTTACGCAGGAAATCTGGCTATGAAACACTTGCATTATGGCATGATGAGAATAATTACGGCTGATAATAATGTCAGTGTAGTCTCTTTATGATATAATGGATATTTCATAAATATGGAAAAGCTGAATATTCTCCTTCACGTAGTTGATTGTTATTTATAATTTCGATTTCAAAAGTGACGTCAGAATTTCGTCAAGGTACATAGTTATGCATATAAATCATTCTTCAGATCACTTTTTAAATCTTTCTGGCCAATGAATAAAGAACACCTTTTATTTACAAAATACTTAGAGGACTAGCAGAAGAGATGCGTCTCTATACTGGGTCATGATTCAAAGTGAAATGAGAACTTGGACCGCCGCCGGACTCGAACCAGCGACCACCCAGTTTCCAGCCTGGTGCTCTAACAACTGAGCTACGAGTTCCGACCGATGACCAGATTTTTATTTTACTTCAACCACCAAAGGTTTTGCCCAACTACCATGTGAATTCGTAATGCGTTACTATCGCTTGATCATACTCACACCGGCTGCTCATTCTGGACTTCTCTTCCCAATCCAAATCAGTTTGGACGAGAGAATTTAATGTCAATGAAATAATTAAATAAATAAATAAGATAGCTCAAAATTCTTTCCTTGGATTTGCTATTCTACATTTACTGTGTGATTCATATGTAATATGTCGGAGTTAATATTCATATTTTGGTGCTGAGACTGAGTTAAACAAGGCCAATATCACAGTAACTATTCACTTAATTGTTCAGGTTACATTCATCTAATGCAAAGTCACTGTCTTGGAAATTCTCTTCTCATTGTATTATCGGGACTTTTTGAAGTGGAGTAAATGTACCAGTTTCAGTTATTGGGAGGTGAGTACATAGATTCTTAAGAGAAAGTTTTGCTTATACTTAGTAGACTATTATGTACTTGACCAACTGTCTTTACGAGACAGAACTAATGAACCCCGAATTTCTCTAAATAAAAATTGACATTTCATTCCAATCAGTGAGTGGAAGTTGGCTACATAAACAGCTAGAACATTTCACTGTTGCATGTTTAACTAAACAGATATAATTAATTCATTACTTTATAGATCTTTGGTATGAAATCCGTTGATAAATCTTCAATGGTACAGTATCTGTTCCTCTATTACATTAATTTAATTTATTTATAGTGGTTAACGTATAACGTCTTTTAAAGAACTAATTTGAAAAACTCTGAAACTTATATCACCCAGTTGACACCTGGGAAAAATCGATCTGCCAACTAGATACCTCATAAAGATTTTTTTCAATGGAACCGAGTATTTCACTATCTAAATACTATGTTATACAGAATAAAGATTTAGTATCTGAATACTTTATTGACTTAAGTTTTCAATGAAGTGAACTGAATTCTCTATTGTTAAGGCATAGTTATTTTGTAATGAGGTGTCTTTTTGTAATTTTAAGGTAAATAAATCTTCAAGGGTCAGAAGTATCTCTAATGAAGTATAAGTAATTAATTCTGGGATTCGGAAACTAGGAGTAACTTTATCAGTATCAGCCTAAAAAACTGAAGTCAGTTTCAGATTATAAACTTTAGTTCCAGTTGCAAACTGTTAAAGTCTCATGATTCCTGTTCTATTGGTTGTTATTTATAAGAGAATGTTACAAGTCTGATATATCTCAGGGAATGCTTTTCTTTGAACCTTTTCGTGGTTATTTCATATCTTACTAATCTTCGGAAGGATATTAAGAAGCTGAAGGTACGTGGTACAACTCAGCATCTTCCGTTGTATTTGATGAACTCCTGAAACTCGCTAATTTTCTCTGCTATTTCTCTTCATTCTTTCCTGAATTGCTGAACAAAAGACTATGCTGTATTGCACAGAACTTTGAAAATTACCAACAGAGTTGATGGTGTTCCTCTAAACCTTCTAATAAAAACTGTTATAGACAAACATCATAACTCATGTACACATTTAGCAGGAGTCATTTCATCACAGAACTAGCATGCTGTTCACTCAAAGCTCTCTTCATGTTGATCATCAAGAAAGACCAAAACCAGGTGTATACGACTGTGGGTTTCTCAGTCTGAGATTAGAACATATTAAGTAGCGTAACAAATAGCTCATACAAGATAACCATAGGTATAGATAAGCTTTGCAGATGAAATATACTCAAACTTCAATACCTGAAGTGTTTAAGGTTACTACATAATCGACAGATCACCTTCATTATAGCTGGTAGTGGTCCCATCGATGAAGCAATACTTCTTTGGATACACAGACTTCTTGTATCACCATCTGAAAGACGTAGCTCAGAAAAGTAATCCAATAAACTCCTAAGTTAGACCGTGTCACATTAGGTAACCACATTTAAATTTCCAGTAGACACTAGTCTGCTAAATCAATTCTCGCCTTGACTTCTCCCCTACACGTATGAATTCCTGCATTCTGGATACTAATACATGGAAACGTAGGAGCTGCAGACTTTCCTCGTCATCCTGGTCAACTTGTAACTCACTAAAGGCCAAGAATCTGTTTACCCAATCACTAGGGGATCAGTCAAGCTAGATATGGTATTTCCTCTTGTATACGTTATATGCACCCTACTGGATATTGCCTAACTCAACCTCTCTTATTACACAGGGTCATTATCATAATCTAATTTATTTCAGTATTATTTATTAGCCAGTGTGCAAAACGGAGTAATTTTCAAGCGAAAAAAGGGAATGAAGATTTTCTGATAAACCAGGAGTGGAGAGGAATATTCTCTATTGGTTGGGATAGAATAATGTTCATATAGGTGCAATTATGCAATTATGTGAGACAACTATGCCAAATTAACCCCTGGAAGAAAAGATAAACGATCTCTTTGGGGTTGAATGCTGTAACCTATCTCTGAAGTTTACTCCGTATTGAATTTTTTTTTCAGTACGCATATGTCGTTAAAAATGACGTCTACTTTACACTCATATGAATTTGCACTAAATGAGTTATGCTTCGTCTACAAATAAGCAAACTAAGCTTTAAGAAATAAATAACAGTAGTTTATCGGTAACATCTAACTAGAAGACATGTCAAAGCCTATCAACATCTAATATACGATATAAATTAGACCTACGTGAAACTTCATGGTATCCGAGCTTTATGGTTTAAGTTACGCATGCTACTATATTTATTAATTAAGATGGGTTATGACGCTCATCGAGATGTTTGGCACTCCAGATGATTACTCAATTAAGTTAGGCTCCATCTTTAGTGTATGGGAATGCTATTTTGTCTATTTATCCCTTGGGTACCTAGTGGAACATAGTGCTTCAGCAGCACGTCTCCATCGCACTCTGTTCTCTGCAGTCTTTCGAACCTGGTTCCATGACTGTCCATAAGCTTTCATTTCTTCCTTCCACGATCTCGCCCTTGTCACCCTCAGATGCTCAAGGGTATAGGAATTTAGTCAGACTCAATAACTGAATGTCCCAAATATAAACTGAATATTCTTATAATCGAAATAAGCATTCACATGAATCATATTTTAAGACAACAGTTTATGTAATAACCTATTCAATTACTAGTAGCAAAATATGGTAAAAAAAAAATAAAAACTACAATAATAATAATAATGCAACACTTACACTTCCATCTTTAAGGGATACTGTAATAGTATCACCACTTGTATCCTTAATATCTGCTAATACATAACCTTCTTTTTCATCTTCAACCCATATAACATTTTTGCTGTCAAAGTTGGCTAATTCTTTCAACAGAGCCTTTCGATCAACACCCAAAAACTTGAAATCTGGATCTGATGGATCCATAATTTGTTAACTATATGTATATTATTAATAAGTGTTGGATAGAATCTAAAGGAAGAAAAAAGGATATACAGTTTGATGACAATAGTCAAATAATATTCAATGTTCACCGTTAAAAAAATCCAGATAAACTTACTTTAATATTATTTAATGAAGTGTAAAGAATATAAAATTTCCTCTTTGTAATGACGAAAATAATAGAGCGGTAGTTTACAACAGTGGTATGAAATACGAATAAACGTAAGACAACGACGATACCGTCAACAAACGTTTGGAGTGAATGCGTATAATATATGGAAATCTAGCCAAATAGCCATTGGTTGCCTTGCTGAACTGCCTGTTTGTGATATAAATTAACCAATCACAAATTAAATGCACCTTGGAATAAATCAATAAATTTAGTAGGGCAATATATTTCAGTTCATAGTTTAGGTAACATAATATTCAAATATAAATCGATATACTTACCTGTGTTAATATGATGTTAGGAAAAGTAGAGTGAAAGGCAGGCTATATTTTAGGGTACATATGCTGAAATGATCGGCCGCCCACTTATTTTCCTATCAGCCTTTCAGTTGATTGAAAGTGGTATTAATAAATAAAGTAGGCTAAACTGTATGTCAGGATGCTATACGACAACGATAAGGCATTATGAAATATGCTTTTTGTGTTACACACCAAATGCTTTTTTAAGGTACTTATAACTCTGAAGAATCCATCACCGAAAAACAGCTAATACTTGATGAAGTAAAATTAGAAATTTAGAATAGATTTAAGCTAATCTGGTTGCTGAAATGCTTCTTTATAAATAATTATACTTTAAAGTGATTGCTAATGTTTAGTCACTGTATAATGTGTGAACTTATTAGCTTAAACACACCAGTTAGGCAGCATAACGTACAAATATGGTGAAACGTTATTCACCAGTTTTCAAATCGAACACGAGAAGACAGTCGTATCAGACCGGCTACTTGAACCTATGAACTGATTTCCAGAGATACAAAAGTGTAAAGGAGAACCAAATATCTCTACATTAAGAGAACAGGCTGTTTATTCAAAGACCTATTTACTGTTTCAGTTAAGTGAACTCCATTAGTTTCTGAAAACCACACGATTGAATAACTTAATTTCCACTGCAGTCATCATCAACATGGAATTTCAGGAGACTATGGGAAATAGGTAAGGATGTCTAAGTACCACCGAAGACGCAGAATTAATAACTGTTGAAAGAAAGAAATCGAAAAAGTTAGATGAATCACTGTTGCACTTACGACTTAAGGAGAAGAACTTAGTAAACACTAACAGATTATTCCTAATGCTATCCCGTTGAACATTATTACATATAAACTGAGAAAACTAATGTGAATACAATACAGCGCTACACTGAATTTATGTAGAGAACACGAAGTGATGAAGATATCCAACCAACACCACCACCAACAACAAGCACTAATCACCGTCAACGGGAAAAACCTAAGGGAAGTAGTCTCTTTCACCTACCTAGGCAAAGCAGCTTCGTTCTAACTACAGGCAATGGCGGCACACACGAGGATGTCAAAACCAGGATCGGAAAAACAAAACACACCATTAATCCGAAGTAGTCAGTGTGGAGATCTGCTGCACTCCACGCAGCACAAAGCGTGAACAATATCCCTATTCTCAACACCAATTCAGTCAAGTCAGTGTTGCTATATGGTTGAGAAACTTGGCGCGTCACCAAAAGCATTTCGAACAAACCACAGATATTCATCAACAGTTGCCACATACGGTGGCTCAATACTGAAGATCAGATGACTGGAATAATGAGAATAAGCAACAAAGAACTCTGGATGGTAAGGAACCAACTAAGCACCTATTACCCAACAAATATGCAGTAGAAGAAAGTGGAGATGGATTGGATTGTGGATACACTGAGGAGGCGGACTGGGGACATCACGCGTCAGGCCAGGTCCTCGAGTGGACTCCACAGGGGAGATGACAAGTTGGGCGTCTGAGATGAGGGTGACATGGAGGAGTTCGTGTGAGGACGAGATGGAAGGTTATGGGCAGTGGTGGAGCCAGGTTGAAAAGACTGTGTAGAAGAGAGTGGGATAGAGGCGTGCTACTGAAGCTCTATGTTCCACTAGGAAACCAAGGGAAAAATAATAATCATAATGACTTGGTCATATATCCCTTTTTTTAAAAATATCATTAATATTAAAAAAGGAATTAGTGAAATAATATGACTGTGGGATCATATGCCAAAAATTCAATTACTGAGTGAATAAAGATCACATACTGATCGGTTATTTTTTACAATTCGGTGTTGGACTGTATTCCTACCTGCTAATATCAGATTCTTACTGGTATTATATGAAAAAGTTTGAAAACCGAAAATGAGAGTTTTCGGAAAGTTTATCACACCAACTATTAAAGTTCGAAGTTTCCTGATAATGACTTATTAGAAGTGAAATAATAAGCGCGCTGGTTTATGCAGCCTTTTTTAGTTGCTTTCATTCTGTATTTTGTCAGTGACCGATAGTGAATTAGGGATCCATATACCATTCTATTTTTAGCATTCATCAATTCGCTACATTTGTTCTCTAGGATCATATACCCAAAAATCTATGATGGCGGCTTGTTGTTTTCTGAGCTTTGATATTTCGTTGTGAAAGTTTCATTGCTAGGCCTAATGACATCTTCATTACTAACCTTATCAAAAAGTTGTAATGGATAGTGATGAAACGTTCACGATTAAATATCAAAGCTCAGAGAACAAGAAACCGCTATCATGTTCATCATGAGCTACAAGTCTTTCTTATCATTTCATACTCAGTACCACTTAATTTAAGTGCAGGAGAATTTTTCTTTGAACCACTGAACTGAGTTTATCAACTTTCTGTTTGATAAGTATACGCTGAAGTGTTGGACGCTATATCAAGTCATCACTAAGAAAGCCAACGTTCATTTAAAAATATGCACAGTAAGCTGATAAGTTTGGAGAAGGACAGAATTTACACAAGTAGAAATTCGCAACGCATTTCATGAATTGTGACTAATTATGATCGATAGAATTTGACAAACACTCAAAAACAGACAAAATGAAATTGGTTACTCTCCAGTGATCAATCATCAGATCTAATCTATTTCAGGAGGAAGTCAAATATGGCCAAAATAGCTGAGTGGTAACACCTAAAAGTGCAGCAGTATGTTACATAGGTTTGATGGTTACTCAGTTCCTTGGTAAACAGAAAAGGCAATAAGATTACAGGTGTATTATATCGTCAAAATGTTTACAAAATACAACCATTTATACATATTTATGATGGTATTGGGTATTTCCAGGCATTTGTAGTAAGGCATACCCCATTGATTTTGTCTCTTCAACCAATCTGATACTCGAACGTAGATTTACAGGTCTTTTTCTTGAAATTTTGAAGCAAAACATCTCTTTGTGAAATGTTTCAGTGAGTCAGTGCTTATTTAGAGGATAAGAATAATCTTGTTGCACACCGTTACAGGAACAACATTCCGGTCGATGTTGCAAGTGGATCTTGCTAACTCGTGATAAAACTGACGAAAACTAGGTTTACAGCTTCTTGCAGATTGACTCTAACCACATAACAACCTATTTATTCTTCACAATAAAATTTCTTGACATTATTACCTTGGGGATATAATCTGGTTACTTGTTTCAATTCTTGAAACATCTAACTGAATAAACTGAGACATTCAGAGCGATGCATCTAGAAAATATTTTCACAGTGAAAAGTTTGTCTTTAGGTCACTTTGATCCGTTTTGTAATGAACTGGAATATTCATCTGAGTGATACTAAACCATACAGTCACGGAATTTAATGGGTTTTTTTCAATGGTGAGATACAAGCCAAACATGAATATTATTTGACTCATGTTCTACGTATGTATGTACTGTAGAAGACGATTGCAGTAAAGAAAAAACTGTCTTTTCGACGAAATCATCCTCTCAGCTGTACATTCATGGGTGTATAGTAAAAAGGATAGAAGTTTTCAGAGTAATTTCCGGTCAAATGTCAATACAAATTATGTAGGGAAGGAAGTTACATTATCTTTACAGGCATTTAAGATGAGGGAATAAAACATGATTACAAAATGACAATGGTTACGTCAGATGAGAATTATTTAGCGTGGTCGATGCTCTACGATGGTTATGGCAAAGAAAGAAACCGCATATACTTCTTTAGAATGAATATAACGGTCTGAACTTTTTAATCGCTATTGCTTCAGCAATGCTTAGATGTCTTAACCTCATTCCTTTCTAGTGGCTTAGTTGTAGTGTGTATAAAATTTCGAAGGGCGTATCAAAAGGAGCCAAATGTCTTGAGTTCACTAGAAGTTCTGTTACAGAGCTAAAGATACATTTCTGTTCTCCTCTTGATCTCTACACTAATGCATCAATAAGTACAGTTTAAGAGGTAGTCAGGAAAGCCTCAACATTGGTCTTGTACTGCTTTATAGACCTAATAAGTTAGTAAGTGAAGTCACATTAGGGTTACAGTTTATGTCTGATCTACGCAGACTTTGAACGTCAGCTTAAAAAGCGTGAAAAAAAGAGCTAAGCTTAAAATTTTACGAAACTGTCTTGAAAGGCTGTCAGGGACTGATAATTTTTAGTGATAGCTTTATAAACCATCATCTTCCTCCTGTTGGCTTCCGTAATAAGCCTTAATAATCAATTGTTCACTGGTACTGATAACTTTTCCAATTTTCTCACTTTCACCATCCAACACTTCCCGTGATGATTGTGAAGGCTCTTAGTCAATATACATTTGATTCGTTTTCACTTCTCATTCAGATGAGAGTCAGCCAGAATGAGCCTTTTCCTATCAGTCAGTTCAGATGAAGTTGCACGAATCCTCTAGCTTCTGCTAATCTCTTCATGTAAGTCATCAAGTGTTTTACAGATCTTTCCACAGCACACTGAATATGACGCCAGGATTAATTAGGAAGTGAAGTGATGCCATGTTCAGATAAATAATTAGCTATTTCCTACCTAGGTATACAAATAACGCTATCATCTTCCAACAGAGCACAAAAAGTCTTTAATACTACGTGTTTCTTACGACTGTTAGGGTGCAAACCTGCATGCGCCCTTACTAACATGTGATTGGAGCTCAAATATGTATTCCAGAAAGACCAGTGGTCCTTCCCATTTATCAAGCTGAAATTCAGGATGTATGCATGAATGTAAGGTAGTTGCAATAGTCTTCTCAGTGTCTACAAAAGTTACAGGTCCAATATCGATATTTGTAGGGGCAAGGAAA